ATCTCTGTGAATATTTTCTCTATTCCTTGGCCTTTCTCTTCGCCTTCTGGGATACCTATAACTCTGATATTTCCTTTCCTAATGGTGTCAGATATTCTTAAAGTGTTTCTTCATTCCTTTTCCTTTTTACTTCTCTTTCTTTTTCTTTTTCTTTTTTTAATTCTCTTTGTTTCTTTGTCTTCGAGGGTGCTGATTCATTCTTCCATTTCATCTATTCTGTTTTCATAACTTTTCCCAGCATTCTTTATCTCTTCTAGTGGCCTTTTCATCGCCTGAATTTCTTCTATTTCCTTTTTTAATGTCTCATTTACTTATGTAACAGAGTGGTCCTGTGGCAAAGGGTCAGAAATGGCCAGATTGCCACGAGACCACCCTGTTACACTTACATCATACTAAGCCCATAATCTAGGCAAGCACTAAACTAGATCTGAGCATCTCAGTGATAAGGCACAGTTCCTACTTTCAGAGGATGTATTTATTACTCAGTTTTAAGTTAAACAAACTAAATTCAAACTTTCCAAAGTAATAAAGGGAGGATTTATAGGCTCATACCCAAATGGAAGAGCAAGAATGGTGTTAACTTCGGGATCATTAAAGCCACAGACTCCAGTAGCTGCAGATCTTTTTTTCCCTTTTCCTCTCCTACATTCTGCGACCACTCAGGTTCTTTACTTTTGTGTCTCCATTGTTCTCATCCTCAGAATCCTCCAGGTGACAAGAAACACAGAACATCCTTGAGGTTATATCTTTATGGTTCATGTCTCTCTTCAAACTGCTTTGTATGGCAGTGTAAGTAAGGAATCTCATTGGCATGACTTGAACTATGCACCAAGGGAAGTTAATTTTTTTAAACAACTACCTAAAGAGCTATAAAATAATTACAAATTTCACAACTTAATTGTTTTGGTTCATTTTTATTCAGAAGTAAAAGCCACAGAGCCCATGGATAAGTTTTGTCAGTGAAGGTTTAATGAGGTAAACATTTTTTCAGGAACCTCACTTGTTTCATTTGCATGGAATAGAAAGGATTAGGTTCTACCTTCCTTTTGGTGCAAAATACAACCTAAAAATAAAAAAATCTGTAAATACCTGCTTCTCCCCCCCCCCCCAACCTCTAAGTAAGCACTTAGTAAATGAAGATACCCAAGTGACCGATAAGCACGTGGAACTATGTTCAACATCAGAGAGGTACAAAATAAAATAATGAGCTATCACTATATACCTCCCAGAGTGGCTTAAATTAAAATCAAAGCAGGAAAACCTGGTAACATCAAGCTTTGGCAAGCATGCAGAAGAACAACCAGAACTTTCATGGAGTGCTAGTGGATACATATGTTGATATAGCCATTTTTGGGAGACAGTTTGGCAGTACCCAGCAAAATTGAACTGTGTACCTTATGAATACCAAACCTGTTCCTAAATACACATCCAACAGCCATGCAGTCATGAAATATGCCAAGGAGACTCAGGTGAAACAAGAGACTCAGGATAGTCCTAGCAACATAGTCATAATAATCCAAAAGAGCCTAAATACCCATCAAAATGAGAATGGGTTATTTGGTATATTCAGACATTTCAATAATACATAGCAAGGACAATAATACCTTACCATATGCAACAGCATGCACATGATATGCAGATAAAATATTATGCAAAATAAATCAGACATAACAAGGGTACATACTCTGTGGCTCCACTGATATGTTTTAGGATTCCATTCTCCAGTTTTTTCCTTGTTGTGTGCCTTTTCTGAAGAGAAGCTCCTTTTTCTCTGTCACAAAATTGTTGTTTTGACCAGTTCTCTTGTCTTCTTCACAGAAGTAGCAGAGGAGCTTGGGAGAGCTGCCTCCTCCTCATCTGTTGTTCCATATTTGCCCCGATTACCTATACTTCCCTCCAAGACCCGGACGCTGAAGAAACAGGTGGAGAATAAGGAAAACATTGAAGGGATACAGGATGCTACAGAAAATTCTGCTTCTAATTCAGCACCAGGTATGGGTCCATAGCAGGTAGAATCAAAATAGGGCTTTAGTGAGAAAATGCCTCATTTAAAGAACCATGGAGCAATATGATATTTATTTCCATTTTCCTGTTTATCATCCCTGGAAAGTAAGGCATTGGTGTTACCTACCACTCTAGTCCTTGGTCTGTATTGCTGGTGTTAGAAGTCCTATCTATCCATTTAATATTCAGTTGAACCTCCTGCTCTACTTCCTTAACTCTTGATTCCCAGATAAATAATTACTGTTTGTAATATTATATATAATTCTGGCAGAAACTTCTTCATTGAACCTTATTGATGAGGCTAGGTTATGCTGTAGTTTTTATTCAGAAAAAAATATGAATATTGGCTATTTTTCCTATTTTAACCCACATTGCATTTGGAACACTAATCAGTCTGAAAGGATAATGTGTTTACTAATATCCTCTTGAGTCCTGCCAATGCCTGACATTTAATAGATGTTGACAAAACTCCTGTAGTTCAGCCTTAGTAACTCAAATATAGTGGAATCATTTCTTATCTTTCACATTACTGATTGGCCATTTCTCATTAGGATTCATTAGAAGTACACAAGCCCCCAGTGGGTCCCCAGCACTGCCTCGAAAGCAGAGAGACAAGTCACCCAGCAGCCTCTTGGAAGATGCCAAAGAGACATGCTTTACCAGAGATAGGAAGGGAGGCTTCTTCAGTTCCTTCATGAAAAAGAGAAATGCTCCCACACCACCTAAACGCAGCAGCTCCTTCCGAGAAATGGAGAATCAGCCCCACAAGAAATATGAACTCACGGGTAACTTCTCATCTGTTGCTTCTCTACAGCATGCTGATGGGTTCTCTTTCACTCCTGCCCAGCAAGAGGCGAATCTGGTACCACCCAAGTGCTATGGGGGGAGCTTTGCCCAGAGGAACCTCTGTAATGACGATGGTGGTGGGGGTGGGGGTAGTGGCACTGCTGGGGGTGGCTGGTCTGGTATCACAGGCTTCTTTACACCTCGCTTAATCAAAAAGACATTGGGCTTACGAGCAGGTAAACCCACAGCCAGTGATGAGAATTCCAAGCCTTTTCCAAGGTCAAACTCTACATCTTCCATGTCCTCAGGGCTTCCAGAGCAGGATAGGATGGCAATGACCCTTCCCAGGAACTGCCAGAGGTCCAAACTCCAGCTGGAAAGGACAGTGTCCACCTCTTCCCAGCCAGAAGAGAATGTAGACAGGGCCAATGACATGCTTCCAAAAAAACCAGAGGAAGGTGCTGCTCCAACCAGGGAGAGACCAAAAGCCAAACTTTTGCCCAGAGGAGCCACGGCTCTTCCTCTCAGAACCCCCTCTGGGGATCCAGCCATTACAGAGAAGGACTCTCCAGGGCTAGGGGTGTCAGGAGTGGCAGCCACCTCAAAGGGCAAGGAGAGGAATGGGGGAGCACGACTTGGCATGGCTGGAGTCCCAGAGGATGGCGAACAGGCAGGCTGGTCTCCAGCCAAGGCTGCAGCAGTCCTCCCAACCACTCACAACCACAAAGTGCCAGTCCTTATCTCACCCACTCTGAAGCACACGCCAGCTGACGTGCAGCTCATTGGCACAGACTCTCAGGGGAATAAATTCAAGCTCTTATCTGAGCATCAGGTTACATCCTCTGGAGACAAGGACCGACCCCGACGGGTAAAACCAAAGTGTGCCCCACCCCCACCGCCAGTGATGAGACTACTGCAGCATCCGTCCATGAGCTCAGACCCCACAGAAGAGCCAGCTGCCCCCACCGCAGGACAACCCACGTCAGAAATACAAGAAGGAGCGAAAAAGGCAGCTCCCGGGGCGGTGGCCATGAGTGGGAAAGCTGGGAGGCCAGTGATGCCTCCACCTCAAGTGCCTCTGCCCACTTCATCCATCTCGCCAGCCAAAATGGCCAACGGCACAGCAGGTACTAAAGTGGCTCTGAGAAAAACCAAACAGGCAGCTGAGAAAATCTCAGCAGACAAAATCAGCAAAGAGGCCCTGCTGGAATGTGCTGACCTACTGTCCAGTGCCATCACGGAACCTGTGCCTAACAGTCAACTGGTAGACACTGGACACCAACTGCTTGACTACTGCTCAGGCTATGTGGACTGCATCCCTCAAACTCGCAACAAATTTGCCTTCCGAGAGGCTGTGAGCAAACTGGAACTTAGCCTGCAGGAGCTGCAGGTGTCTTCAGCAGCTGCTGGTGTCCCTGGGGCAAACCCTGTCCTTAATAACTTATTATCGTGTGTACAGGAAATCAGTGATGTGGTGCAGAGGTAGCCACTGCCAGCCTAGTGGGAAGATGCACACATCTGAGGGAAAAGGAAGAGGGACTTGCTTTCCTGTGTTTTTGTTTTTTTTCGTTTTTTTTTTTTTTTTTTAAATGAAAGACTGATACTTGAGTGTGTTTATGTGAAGTACCTCAGATCCCTGAGTTCTCACGTTTACAGGTTCATCTCAAAAATCACATAGGAGAGGAAAATTAGATGGGGGCAGAATATTTGTGGAAGGGATTGGAAGCTGCACTGGACCAAGAAGCATATGTATGTTATGCCATGAAGAACCAAATCCAAACCACTTTTGCCCAGAGTGGTGGGAGCTGGTTAGACCTGGCTGCCCTAGGAACTGTGTCCAGATAGTGGGGAGCTGCAGCGCTCGTCCTGTACCACAGGAAGGAGGTGATCTGGGCGCCAGCAGGTACTAGTGGTAATTTTATCCAGCTCACTAAGTGAATTGGGTGGGAAAGAAAGGGCAAATTGGAAGTGCACTAAGGGAAGTGTTTTTCAGGCTATTGGAAGCCACTGATAGTCTTGCTTCCACAAGGTCACTGCTGCTGCAACATGATTTGTAAAAATCACAATTGCTAGAATACAAAACTGGGGGAATCCCTATCTGTTTGATCTTTTCCTGTTTCCCATTGGTGTGTTTTTTGCTGCAGGAAATAGAAAATTCCAGGAAGCAAGAGTCAGGGATATTGAAAGCTCCTCCTAAAACCTTGACTGACTTCTCTTGTTTTCCTGCTTGTGGGTGCCTATCTACACACGACAGCAGAAGGGTCTCTCGTGGTTGGGCTCTGCCCTTTGTTAGGCGGCAGGCTGTCTTCCTTGATTCCTGACAGCAGTCGTGGCACAAATCAGCAATGTATTTGGTATCAGTGGGTCTCTCACGGGTTCTCACTGGGAATCCTCTCCTGATGCTATGCCCCTGCATACTGACGTCCTGGCCAACGACTCAGATGCTGGGTATTTCTTTATCACTAAAGTACCAGGGAAAGGTTCTCTTCTCGAAGCCCAACCATCCGGCCCAAAACCTATTGATTGAGAGGACAAGGTGGCTTGGTCTTAACAATCGCTCTTTACTTTGCCCCTCCCGTGCCACGCAACCCAAGTTAGGAGGAAACTCACCCCAAGTTAGGGGTGACTCTCTGAATCACCCCCAGATTCACACATGCTTTTCTCCTCTCAATTACCCTTCTCTGCCACAATCATGTTTGTTTGTAAAGATCATGCTGGGAATATTCTTTGACATTTATTTTGTCATTTCACCTATATTTCAAGAATGCATAGCTGAAGGACAGGCAGGTCATTTCCACGAACAACTGGAAATAATAATGGAACCCTATTGACTTAACCCTCCAATATGTCCAATATTGAGAAATAAGCCTTTTCTTTTCTCACTCATTTACAATTATGGAAGTTAATTAGGATTACATGGAACTAAATCTAAGTGAGATATTAATCTTCTATCTGGTTTAATTCTCATTGCCACTTCATTCTCTTTTTAAAACTTTACCAACCCCTGCTCCCATAAAAACTCAGTACAAGAAAAAGAAAAAGAAATGCATTATATTTTCCTCCCAAAGGAATTTTAACTTAGGGAGAAGGTATTCAGCATTGATGAACAATCAGCTTTCTTCCTGACTCAACCTATTGATCCACTGTCAAGCCACAGTCCCATCTCTTAATCTATTAAATGAAGGTAGTAATACATGTTCTCAAGGGTGTTTTTGCAAGTAAGTGTGTAGCTATCCCTTTGAGAGTCTCTCTGGACAGCTCTTTAGGGCAGTGTTTTATGATAACTTTTCATCCTCTTTGCTTAATAGCAGAAGTAAAATTTGTAATTGCTGAGATTATGTTAATTGGGCTAAAGTACTAAGGTGGGTAGGTAGGGTGTGTGAAACTATGTTTTGGATAGAATCTGGCATTGTAGACCAAGGAGGGAATTTGATTTCCATTAGAAAGGAGAACTTGATCCTTAGGTGCTTGCTCCAAAGGTCACCGAGGCCAAGAGAAGGATAAAATGAAGGAAACAGCACCCAATAGTTTATGCAGGGGTTGGGTGGCCCCTGTCTGTAAGTAACCTACAAATGCAGCATGGGCAGCTAGTGACCTGGTTAACTCCTGTGACTGGAAATGATTTCCTTGAGCTCTTTTCCAACAGTCCTCCCACCTTCTTTGTCACTCCCCGCCATCTACACTTCCATAAACTTGAAAATTGTTTTAGCAGTTAACCTTTTAAGGGTGGGGCAGGGAAAGCTAAAACTTTAGAACATGATGCTGCTGCTTTAAGTTTATCCCTGTCATTGTGGGATGCAAGTTGGGGGATCCTAATTGTTTTTCAGGGTTTTTTTTTTCTTTCCTTTTTTTTTTTAAGCAAGGGATCTATTTTTCCCTTGAGAGTTCTGAAAATAAGCCTTGGAGGAACACTACTGAGTGTATCTGTGCTCCCTGGTTTTCTTACCCAAGAGCAGACATGAAGCTGAGGGTCATGTTTTACTCAGGGCAGCACCTGGCTTGACTTGCCTGCTGCAGGTGCTCAGTAAGTTGGTGAATAGGTTCTCTCAGCACTGTCCGGTAGCAGTGCTGCTGTAGCACACCCCACCCACAAGATGCTGTGTGACTTCTGGAGTGGAGGGCTCAGGGTTCAGGTTAAAGAGGCACTGTCAACTTACTATGAAAATATAACTTAAGTTTCTCCTATTTTCTACCTGAAAAGAACCAGATTAAAAAAACAAACAAACCTGTAAATGTAAAAATTTTAATTCAAAATAGAGAAAACTGCTTGTAGAGACAAAAAAATAGTATGATTCTATCTGGTTTAAAAGCAAAGCAGGAGCAGAAGCCCTTCTACAAGGTGTTGAAAATTTCTAAAGCTGTTAATCTATCTGTCTATCTTTGGACTACCACAGCTTGAATCCTTTCATTTAAGATATAATTTCAGTGTACACTTCTTAGTGCTTTTGTTAGAATACATCTTATGTTTTACATGAAGTATTTTCTTAAAAGACTTTGTGTAGAAGTAAAATGTATATTTTCCTATACATTTCCATTGGGATTTTCAGATACGCCTTAAAAAAAATGGCCCTAAGAAATTCATGAAGTGTTTTTACAGAAGACCTCAGTATATTGAGGTCATTTAATAGTGGAGACTCTATCCCAGCTGCACTTTGGGAATTTTCTTACAACTTAAGTGAAAGTTGGCTAGTAAAATAGTACGCAGTTAATAAACCATGCTGATTTTGCTAAGGCACAGCCCTTATTTATTTATGTAACGTCATGAGGAATTTGAGTTTGAAAATGCTACATAGTGAGTAAGAGTTCAAACCTTTAAGCCTGTCCAGAAGGCCCATCATTTAACCTTCCTGAGCCTTAGTTTCCTTATTGGAAAACAGGGATAATAATAGTAACTACCTCAGGGTTGTTGTAAGGATTAAATGAGATAGTGTAATTATACTTAGCTTGTGTGCCTGGCATATAATGAACACTCCATAAATGTTTACTACTAATACTACTATTACTACTACCACCTCTGTCACCACACATAGTCCAGTGAGTCTTAGCCAGGGATGTGCAACAAAATCCCCCTAAGGCTTAAAAGGACAACAAAAGCCTGATGCATTGTTCTCACCCTAGGTTAGAATTGCCAGTGGGGTGGGGGTCACAGCCAGTATGTTTTTCAGAGATCCCTCCCGGTGTTTTATTAGACACCCAGCACTGTTCTTTATAGCTTAAGGAATTAGAAGAAAGGATGGACAGTTATCTGCCCATAATCTCAGCGCAGTTCACTGGTGGCAGAGCCAGGGCTCAAGTTTGCGTCTCTTGACTTTCTGATTGTGGGGTCTTTCCACCATTCCTGCTGCCTTGTGAGACACTGTAAAGTAAAAAAGTGGCTCAGACAATCAGACTGCATGATCCTGCACACTTTCTAAAGCACATGTTCCTGGCACTCTGACCTCTCGTGGCTTGGATGTTGAGTAATGGCAACACCAGAAAAGCAGCGCTCAGTAGACTTCACTAATTTGAGAAATGATATGGGGTCATTCTTTTGGATAGACCTCAGCGACACCGCAGTCTGCACTTTGTAATAAATGCCAACATAAGTTTTAAAAAACGTAGTCCTACATTCCTTTTTCTTAAAAAAATAAAACTGAAAACCTTTATTCTGTATTATTTTAATGACTGAGATATAATGTATGTGAAAGCACTTTGGAGAAAATATCAAATGTAATATAATTCTAAGCTTGTATTATTATCTGTTTAGAAGATAGAACAGTTGGTTAGATGCCAGTTGACATAATCTCTTATCCGTGGGGGACCTGAAGATGCAGATATATAAACAATCACCTTGGTAATTTATTACACTTATAAATATGAAACTGCTAAATGAGTATGTGCAGGTATAGTAAATGTTTTGCTAAAATGGTAGATCAGTGCTGAATGACTTCAGAAAACTAGGGACCAACCTTCTGGTTTAATTATATAATCTTTTAAAAGGAATCCTGTATGTTTACTACAGAACAGAGAATCTCTTCTAGGGACCTTGATTCAAGAATGAGGCCCTCTTATCCTTATACATTTGTCCACTACATGTTGAACTGTTTCGTATCCTAAATATGGTGGGAGCTGACTTGTTACCTGTTAATGTTGACAGTGTCTTTTTAAGCCTATGTCCTGCTTGGTTTTGTTGGTTTGGGGGGAGGGGGGCTGACCTTGGGGGATGGGCTGGTGGGGAGATTGGATAGCCCTAGAAACAGTGCACTTCGGAAATTACTTTTCTAGGATTTCCTTCCAGTTATAAATGACTTGACATTTATGTTATTTTTTTTCTAAAAAGAGTAGCTGGTTGTGACTTACCTGTGAGCTTATAAATACCCAAGAGTAAATTGCATTGGTGGCCACTTGAATTATAGCTACACTCTGACCTCTGCCATTTTGTTACTAATGTTATCATCACTATCCATCTCCCATGGGAATTTGCATTGGGCTTATAGGGGTTGGCAGTGATTCTGTTCTTGATGACTTTGAGGTTTCATCATCTTGCTTGTGTTAACTTGTACTACTTGGATGTGGCTAGTCCTCTTTATGTGGGTGGGTCTCTGGATATGTTTCCTCTTCTGTATGAATAGATCCAGCTGACTATCTCAGTGTTCCTTCTATCCAGACTGTAGCTCATCTTTTATAAATGCCTGCTTTGGTTTAGGATATTTGGGAACAGGAGAGAAAGGAAAGGCAGCCTCCAAGGAGCCTGTAGCTCTTCAAAGGCAGCATTAAGGCTTCCTGTCACAGCCCGGGAACCTGCTGCTAGTCATAGCCCTACTCATGTCAGGAGACTCGGACTGATGCATCTTGTCCACCCTTAACAATCAAGATATCTATATACATTGGGCAAATTTCCAGCTTTCCAACTTCCAGACTTTGAAAACTCTAATGCAAAGCTTGCTTTTCTTGGCAAACTAATAGTGCCTGGAGTAACAAAACTACTCTCAAGACTTGGAACCTCACTGCCATTCCCTGCCTTCGGTGTGACGAGGGAAGCATGGGGAGATTTCAGGACTACGGAGTGGGTTGCACCCCGCTCCAGGCCACCCTCCAGGTAATTCCCTTAATACCAGCCTGTTTTTATGTGAAGTTTACAATATCCAAGAAGAAAGTTTCTGTTCTAGAACTGCTGCTTTTCACCCACCTGAGTGTCTATTCTACCCCCAAGATAACGTGCTTATCCTGAAGTATCTTTCCTATCCTGAGACAATGTGTGCAAGATTAGTCGTTAGTTTCTAGTTCTATCTAGATCCTAAGGATAGGAAATTAGGGAAGGCTCCTTCTGGGGTGAGGTGATGAGATGACCCCCTGCTTTCCCCAGAAGGCCAAACAAAGCAGGTTATCATGACTCTAGGCTGTTAGAGTGGCAGAGAGTGTTTCTAGGTAACTTTCTCTTCAAAGATGGACTTCATGAGTTTCGCAGAGGAAGAACCTTGTGGGTGTGGCTGCTTTTGCGTGATTACTGAAGTAGATTATAGAACTGGCATAAATGAACTTCATGGGTAGCAGTGGCTCAGTGTCTCACTTCAGATACTCTCCCAACATGGGGTGCTGATTTCACAAAGGGTTATTTTCTTTCTCCCACTTGGTGATCTGGACACTCAGTCTTAAGTGGATCCTTCCCTCCAAGTGCATGCATTTCTTTGCTTCTACTAATGATGAAAGGTTTGCATCTGTTTACTTTTAGTAGAAAAAATTATATCCTTTATCCTCCCCACTGCTGAATGACCTGAACCATTAGCAGCCTAGCTAACTCAGCCTGAGGTCACAGATACTTGAGTGGATCTTCAAACCTGCAGACCAGAGAAAAGAGCCCATTAGTGTCCTCATGTCACACCCTGTTCATGCCCAGTGTCTGTCATCACTGTAATTGGAAGCAGCAAGTTACTGGATGTTATGTGTCCCTCCCAGCTACTGACCTGTATACACAGGACTTGAGGTCTCAAGTATTGTGATTCTTAAGAGAATGATTGTGGGCTTTTCAGATGCTAGCAGTCTGTAAGAAAGCAAATAAAAGGGGGTTTTAAGACTGGAGCTGGCATAGATTTTGCTTCTAAGCCTCAGTTTTAAATCCTGTAATTATACACCATAAACTTTACTTGGAGAATGGGACTTAGGTTAATAAAATTTTCACATATAATTAATTTTCAGCAGTTTTTATACCATAATCTCACAAGTATGTCAAATTTATTCTTGAATCAAAAGATAATTAAGGATTCTACATTGCCCTAGGGTCATCGTAGTGAATCTCAAATGCTCTTCTGTCCAGTGCAGAAGTATTAAACTGTATGTTGTGAGTGATGAGAATGCCAGTAGACAAAGATGTTCTGATTGATGAGGGCCAGAAAACAACCAAGCTTCCTCCATTTGACAAGCCATTTTTCATGATGGTTATGGTTCATGAACTTCTAGTATGAGAGAAATTTTCTGAGATCCTGAGAAATCACCTTGATTAGGCTGATTATCCTAAAGAGAAATTAGTACTCAGAAACAAGAAAGGATAGTGAGGTACTCATCTTACAGTTCTTTAGGGTGTGTGTTTGAAAACTGTCATATCTCAGATCTGTATCTGAGGGTACATATTATGTCCACATTATGTACATATACCGTTTTTCTCACTAAGAAAGAGGGGAGAAGGTGGAAGAGAAGTAAATCATATCTTTCCCTGTGGTGAATAGAAGCTGTGCCCTGGTTGGTGTTTGCCGTGAACAGGCCGACTAAGCTGAGGAGGCATGTCCTGAGTAGACCCCATGTTTTGTCTTCTTTGCAATCTGATTCAGTCATGACTATCAGTGGAGAAACCTGTCTTACACACATTTGACTAAAAATAAATTTGAATATTTCATGGTGATTGACACAACTGTCCTAAAACATGATTCAGACTCTTTTTAAACTTATCAAATATTTATACCAAAGGTCACACTTGCAGGTGTGAACAAGGTGGGTGCAGCGGGTGAGGTCTGGTGGACCTGGCACTGTGCGCATCACTAAGAGGGCACAGCGAGACAATATGGGACTTAACTGAAAACACATCAATCATGGGTCACACTACCAGTGTTGTCAGGTATCTGTTCTTTATTGTTATTGTAATATATTTTCAGTTGTTTTGTTTTTTCTAATTTAATTCTCTCACCTTGTTGTCTGACTGTGAACTGCTAACAGTGTTAAACTTGATGTAAATAAATGAGGCCCTTGTAAGGGGAATGCTGTCGTCTGCCTGTTGTCTCACAAGGTTTGCCAACTTGTATTTTAAATAAAGGTTGCAATATTTTATTGGCAAACTAGACTTGTGATTGGAGTGCTCCTCCCATAACTTTAGCAGACAGGAAACATAAGTAGAATTTCTCTCTGCATATAATAGGTATCTGTATGGTAAACAAGCTGATTTGGCAGACATCCTGGGCACATTTTGTAGATGTCTGCTATAGGTGCAAATGCACATCCTTTGATGGATTACATTTTTGGAATTGGCCAAGAACAACTTCTGGAGCCTAACTGGTATACAAGATGTGTGTAGGCATGTACCTTCATTCATATATAAGGTGAGTAATTCTTTTAAAGTCAATTCTGAGGATTAAGTTAAATCTTGTGAGTTGTAAAAATGTTTTTGAGCCAAAGCAGCATAAATAAGAGGTGTAGAATCTCACAGGGAATAATCTGGTTCAATTTGGTATTTAATTATAAAACCTGTGCAGGTAATGTTTTAATTGTCAGTAACCAGTGGTGCACACAGGATGCCCATCAGAATGGCACTAAACATAAGCTTTTGCAGCTCACACTGCCCCTTCAGTCCTTCTCCCAGTTTTTGGTTTATTTTAGGATTTTTTTTATAAGGATGAACTCAACTGTCCTGTGAGGTAGGTATAGTTATGCTTACTTTTACAATAGGGGAAACCGTGGCTTGACTGAGATGAATAGCTTTCCTGTGATCTCAGTGGTTATTAAGTGGCTGAATGATGGCTCCAGGCTGGGCCCTCTAGCTTGAGTGTTGTGAGCTATTATGAGCTACTTTGTCTTGGATGCCGAGGTTTTAATAGGTTCAAACCCTGTGTTTATGACGTTGGACATGGCTAGCCAGTGCTAAAAGGATTTCAGCTATTCTGTGATTGAGACCAAAAGGTACCTTTTAAAGTCAAAGTGAACTAAGATTTAAAAGCTGGGTATCTTAATAGCATTGGGTAATCTGTGTATTCTTCCCAAAATGTTTAGATGGAGCCAGTTAGCCAGTAGCTATAATAGCCCCAGTTGGGCCATGTTGACTTTTATCTCATGAATGATATAGAAGTGTTTCATTAATTCATTTATGTATTTATAGTGTTCTGGGCAGGTATTCCTAGTCTTGTGGCAGTTATTTGAGGAAATTAGGAGCAATAAACTGTTAAATGGTAGAAGGACAGTGTTCAGTCTTACCAGGGCTAAAGATAATCACAAATTTAAAAAAAAAAAATCTGTATGGTTTTCCAGAAAAAGGACAAAATGAGTACTACCTGTGTACATTTTTACACATGGCCACTAAGTCCTCAAAGTGGATGTTTTATATTATATAGCTAGCTGGAGCATGGTGTACAGTTTTCATTTAGAAGAATCATGTGCTGTGGAAGCCTTATCTAATGTGGGCCCAAAGGAAACTCCTTCCGCCCTGTGAACCAGCATTTGGCACATTGCTGAGTGAGCACATTTACTAGAAAGTAGGGTGAGGTCCCTCCATGGTGGCACAGCGGGTTAAAGCACAGCACTAAGAAGCTAAAGCCACTTTCGCATGAGTTCCCACCCCAGAGGTGACTTCCCACTGCTCCCCTCAGCAGTGTACTTTGTGGATCTGCCTCCCCACTCTATGGTGAATCCTCTCACCACCCCTTTGCCTCTGGCCTGCACCCCAGTTCTGTATAAATTAATAAATCTTTGAAAAAGAAAGTAGGGTGAAGGTTGTAGAAAAATACAAAATTTTAATGTTTACATGAGAGTCATGTCTTCAAAGCCCTTAGAGCTACAGAAGAGTAACTCAGCCTACACACTGCCACGATTATTTTAAAAATTCTTTCTCTGTGTACTTTTTGCTTGGGATTTTGCTGAAATGATTTGAAAGCTAACCCATACCCTGCACACCAGAGTATACCCACGGTGCCAGTAAGCAGAACTTTATCCTTCTTTGTCACTTAAGATCCAGCAGGTTCGGGCACCTGCAAATTAGCACTGAGGTGGGAGTAGGCCCTTGGAATTTGCCTCCCATAGTATTTTCTCTAGTCACCTGCCCCCATTTTAAGGCACTATGTGATCTTAAAGAAGTGGCTCTACTTCTGACTTTAAGGCCTGCCTTTTTCATACCACTTGTGTGTTCGTGACTGCTGGATGCCAGCGTCATTCTCCCACCCATTATGGTCCTGTTCCTGGAAAGGAGGCTGCTTCAGGAAGTCTTTGCCTTCCCCTAAGGTAAGAAATAGTTAATTCTCTGAGAGATAGACTTGCAGCCCTGGGAAGAGAAGAGCTGCTCCTCCTTGGGGACATAGGTCATCATCTTGGCAATTTCATCCAGTGCCTCTTCTGTGTAGAGAAGCTCCTGGCCCAGGAAAGCGTCGCGTGCACACAGCCTCACGTGGCGATACTCCAGCGGTAGGAAAGGGACGAAGAAGTCAATCAAGTTTTCCTTCACCATACAACTGTTACCAAAGCCACTGTCTGAAATCAGAACCCAGAGTTATGTGGCATCTAACCTGGGGTTGAACCCAATCCTAAAGCCTGGACAAGGCTCGATCTCAGAATGCCCCAACCAAATTACAGATGCATACTGCAGGGTTTTCCTGATGACATAGCCCTATCTACAGCCTGAACCACTGCCTATATACCCAAGGTGGGGGCACACTATGCTCTTCTGAGGAATATTTTCAGAAAAGGAGTTCAGCTTGTTTTCCTGTGCTTCCCTGAGGTGTGCTCTGCCCACCTCATAACTGGACAAGCCTATCACCCTATGGCTTTTACTAGAGGCTTATTTTCTATGTGTCAAGGAGTCCCTTACCTGTGGATGCCACAATCTCAGCCTGGAGGTGGGGCTCTAAATGTTCAATAGTAATTTCTTCTCGGGACCATCCAGCCTTAAGTAGATTCAGAACCACTTCATTGACGACTTTGCCTCCAAGGTTACTGAAAGAAATAACAGATTTCTGTGGTTTTCCTCATTACTTAGGTCACTGTATGGAAACCTGAACAAAAACTGGAGGTTGAGGAACCTGGGTTTTCCCTCTCTCAGGAGATTATGACTTGTACACGAAAGACAGCTTGCTTTACCACCTATATACTGTCTAGCTTCTTTTTGACTTAAGAGACTGCTGGGAATGCAAAGAAGTATGATGTGACTCTTCCCCTTCTGTGCAGAAGAGGTTTGTGTGTGTGCAATTCCAGGACCTGGCAAATGCAGGAACAAGGCCCAAGGAGAAGGCTTCAGAAGCAGTATGAAGCTTCTGTATAAATGTACTGTAATCAACAAACATGAGGCAGGTGGCATGAAGGCTGGTGTGGAGAACCTTTGAATGAATCATTCAATGGGTTTGAACTTAGCCTGATTGGGTCACCCTACACCAAGATCATTGTAGGACTACAGCGATTGAGGAGTCATGCATAGCTGCAGAAAGCTAGTCGGGGAGTTCTTTACAATGATAGAGGTGATGAGAAGACTTAAGGAAAGGGGCAGTATAAATTGGTAATGAGTAGGTTGCTTACAAGAAAATGTTGAAAGGTGGTCTTTTCATCTAAGTAGAAAAAAAAAAATGAGCAAGGCAATTTAATAGCAGGAACCACTAATAGATTCTTGATGTAAATGGATTGAACTCCACAACCAAAAGCTGTCATGGCTAGATGGCTTAAAAAACAAAACCTACTATATTCTGCTTAATCACATAAGACAGATAAAGATGAATGCTACTTAATGATAAAAGACCTATACAACCAGAAGATGACTAAGTAATGAACAATCCTAAAAGGAGACAGTGACAGAAACCAATAGTAGGAAACTGACACCCCACTTAGAACAATGGGCAAATCATCTAGACAGATATCAAGAATCAAGCAAAAGGGCCATAAACAATGAGTTAGATGAGATGCAGTTGACATTTACAGAGTGTTCTACTCAATACACACTTTTTCTAGTGCACATGGAACATTCACTAGGATAAACTACTGTGAGACAGAAAGCGAGTCAATTTATGAGGACTGAATACATCTTTTGGGGCATGAAATTAGAAATAAGCCAATGGAGGCCTTCCTGGTGGTATAACAGGTTAAAACACAGCACTGGCTGCAACCACCTCAGTCCAAGTTTAACCCCCGAGCAGGGAGGTGACCCACATGGCAGACCTCTCCTGTACCCCAGTTCTGTATGCATAAGTAACTTCTTGAAAAAGAACCAATGGATGGCAGAAAGGCAATGGGGTGGCAACATCCATCCACTCTGCCTTCCATCCTGCCCCCCATGCTGGATAGGGGTTGGGGTAGAGGGATTTATGGATGGCTGGGAAAAAAAGCTATATACATCCATTTGTCCTGCCATCCTTCACTTCTGCTCAGAGTTCCCCTAACACCTGTTCACAGGAAAGCAGCTTCGAAGATGCTTCTGCTGCCTTCCCTCTACCCTCCCTGATCCTGGTGCAGGAAGCTCTCCCAGGTAGGTCATTTGCCTGGATCTGCCTGCACAAGAATGACCACAGTTGCATCAGCTGAGACAGGTCCTCCCTATAAACCAAATGATTTCTCTATCCTGCATCCTATGTGAGAAGCAAATGCACATTTACACAGACATGCTGGGTAGGCTGGTGATAGTCACTCACCAGAAGATTAGCCTGTATTTAACATCAGTGCATAGCAGGTGGTGAAAACTTATTAGAAAATGGTTACCTCTCTAAACTGTCTCCACCTCCCATCTTAATTTGTCTTCCACTTCATCTCTCTTCATGTTACCTACCGGTTTTTATCTCACCCAGTCAAAACCTGTGCCCCTTCACTGCCATATTCAGCAATTGCAGCCTGGTTCCAACATCCATATTTAGACCAATTTTACCTTCCTGGGGCCTCTCAATTACCTTCCATATCCTCCCAGGTCCCTACTGACTAGAAATTCTGAAGAGAACTACAGGACAGCACGTCTAATCTCACTGGTTCGTAGTCTTGATACCCCTTAAGAAGGGTACTTGAAGGCCTCGCTGGTAACAAATCCCACCATATTTGTCCTTCCTAAAGAATATAAACTTAACAAGAGCATTAGTTTCTTGTGCTAGAAAACTGAAGGTCACCTTCACAAGCACTTTCTGTGTACTGCTATATAATAACTCTGACTCCACATTTTCATATAGTTCTTTTAAATTTTGAAGTAATTTCTATTCCTGACAACAGCCCAAAAAGCATAGGTGTTAAAATTACATTTACTTTACACCTTTCATGAAAAGAGGTCCTATGTTCTATAGCTCAGAGTTCTATGTTCATGTTCTGCCAAGACCCCATTACTGTTAGAGCCTCCTAATAGGCAAGTACTGTTAAAATTAGCTTTGTGCCCAATAGGCCCCAGATTCACCAAACTAGACTTAGAAACATGTACCACACACCCTGCTTTAATGGCTGTCTTCACAGTTGTGCCACCACACAAGGCAGGCTCAGCAAAGGCACCATCAGCCTGGCCCGGGACTCCCTGCAGTTGTGCCTAGGCCTTGTGTCACCACTGGCAATCACAGGCCACACTAGAGTCACTGGAACAAAAGACCACATCCTCTCATCAGTAAGGTTTGTATGGTTTCCACTGTCTCTGCCAGAGACCACGTGGGCCAGTCCACAAAGGCCAGGTCGCTTGGGGGGGGGGGAGGCAGGGCTGGAGGATAGCTGTCAGTGGTTAATGACCAAAAAGTTTGCCTAGAGAAAATCCTGGCACCTGAAGGGGAAGGTTCTCCAATCTGAAAGCCAGGTGGGAAAGTCAACACAGCCACCATTCCAGGCACTGGCCAAGATCCATGAGGCCTAGATTTGGGAAAGACTGGCCACGATCATGAGACCATGGGCAGTAGGGAGAGAGGAAGCTATGTATAAAGTCAGAAGATTCTACAAAAGAGAACCCCTGAGTTGGGCTGGCCCTTTGAATCCAGTGGACCACAGAAATAGTGGTAGTAATAGAAACTAGGGGTAGGAGTTCATTGGCTTCATCTCATGAATTTGAGCACTAAAATTGTTATCAGAGGATCTTTCAGCTTTCTTTTTAAGATCATCATGGAAGGGTTGCCTGCCCTCCTTCACAGCACACTACAGTGTCCCCTATACCTTACTTATAGATCAGGAAGGACTGGCCATCAACACACTGAAATTCCAACCCAGCTATATAGTTTTCCACAAGGAATTTATCTGTCTCCACAGCTTACTTTTTTGCTCTCCCCTAACCAGGGTGAAAAAACAGATCCCCTACTTCTCAATCTTCACAGGCTACCGCAGAAAGCTGGGGGAAATCCTGCAAGCATATGCTGGTCTGCACATGAGGAATGAGGAAGAAGTAACTTGTTTGGCTTCTACTTTTACTCTCTGAGGAGCTGCTTATAAAGCTTTCAAATGAGGTCAATGAGGGCCAAAAGTAATTCCTTAGGCAGGAGTTTCTCAGTTGAAGCCATCACAAAAAGGGGTTCTTGAACAAGTTGATTTCTAAGTTCACTTCTTACAAAGCCAGTTCCAAAGCTTGGGGCATACAGTGGGACAACAAAAGCAGGAACTGTAGTGCAGCAGTTAAGCAGCGAGTTCCTGCATGGTGTGACCACCAATACCAAGACAGGTTAAAGAGCAAGCATGCTTTTAATTCAACACATTATAACCTGAATTTCAAGCTGGTAGCTTACTCTCATGTTCAGAAAAGAAACAGACCTTACAAGATTAGGGAAAGAAGTGGTCATTTAGTGGGAAACTATTTTCCAAAGAGAATAGCTCCTTTGGAATTTTCAAGGATAATTTGCACTTAATTTTCAACTAACATGTTGACTTAAAAACCTAATGCCCTACTAAAAGGGAACTCACAATACATGAGTTACATGTCAACTTGTAATACAAAGTTCTAGTAATCAAACAGCATGGTGTTGGCATAAAACAGACAACCACCAAAAAAGAATAGAGAATCCAAAAATAAACCCACATGTGAATGGCTAATGAGTTCATGACAAAGGAGCATGAGTACACAGAGGGAAAAGGAAAGTGTCTTCAATAAAGGGTGCTGGAAAAGGACAACCATACGCCAAAGAATGGAAATAGGCCATTGTCTTATACCATACACGAAATGGATCGAAGGCTTCAACACAAGATTGATGCCATAAAACAAAGAAAAAACAAGTGGTAAGCCCCTTGACATAGGTCTTGGCAATGATCTGACTCTAAAAGCAAAGTGACAGTAATAAACAATCATATCAAACTAGAAACTGCACAGCAAACTATCCACAAAATGAAAAGACTACCAAATGGAGAAAATATTTGCAAGTCATATTTGATAAAGGATTAATATTCAAAAAAGCATGAACTTCTACAACTCAGTATGAATTTCATTAAAAACAAATAGGCCTCCCTGTGGCACAGAGATTAAAGTCATCGCTATCAAGCTATTGGCAGTCACTGTGGCATGAGTTCATCCCCATCCAGGAAAATGACCCACAATGGTGCAGCAGATCTCTCCTGTCCCACCCACTGCTCCCCTCAGCAGTATTTCAGTCACTTCTGTTCCCCTCTTTCTCTGGTAAATCCTCTCACCCCACTCCCAACACACACATCTCTAGTGTACACCCCAGTTCTTGTATGCATCAAGAAATAAAAATAAAATTTGAATAGATTTATTTTCCAAAGGCATACAGGTGGCCAACAAGTACATGAAAAAGTACTCAACATCACTAGTCATCAGGAAAATACAAATCACCATGAAATATCATCTTACACCTGATAGAAAGTTAGAAAAACAAGAGAAGTATTGGCAAGAGGATGGAGAAAATGGAGCTTATGTACACTTTTGATGGGAATGAAAATTGGTGCAGTGAATGTAAAATTGAAAAACAGTATGGAGATTCCTCAGAGAGAATTCCCACAGGAGCCATAAAAGCACTAAAAATGCTCTTCACTGCAGCATTATGGAAAGATGAAATAACCTCAGATATGAGGATAGTCCAAGTATCCACTGATGAATGACTAGATAAAGAAAATGCAGGGTGTGTAAACACATATGAAAGAATATACATACAGTGGAGTATTATTCATCCCTAAAAGTAGGAAATCTTGCCACTTGTGAAAGTGGATGGACCATGAGGGCATTACATTTAGTGAACTAAGTTAGAAAAAAGCAAATGCCATATGATCTTTTATGTAGTCTTAAACCACTTGGTAGCTGTGTAACTACTTAACATTTAGCAACCAGACAAATACTGAATTGTTTTACATCTGAAATGTGACAATACAATTTAAAAGACCATGAATGCCTTTCTAAGATGGGGCCAGTGAATGAGGGGCCCCTCCCTGAAGAGGCTATAGTACAAGGAGGGAGCCTGAGGTTGCAGACTGATCCTCTAGATTCACATCCTAGAGAACCACCGGCGTGGGCTATGCTGAACAAGCGGCAGCTGGTGCCAGAGCGGCTTACCTGGCCTGTGCCGTGAGTGTTCCTGCAACCCTGCAGAAGTGCCTGGTGGAACCAGGGCAACAGCAGAGAGGCCTAAGAGTAGTTTTTTTCTATTGGTTTCACATGCAGAAAGGTTCTGCAGTTTAGGGGAGTGTGGAAGCCCTCCACTGCCCACTATATCCCAGGGAACAGCTCCTAAACCTGACATATACAGCACCACAGAGGGTTCCCCCCACCCCCACAACCCCTTCGAGTTATAGTTCTTCAGAGCTCACCTGAGAAAAAGAATGATGGTTTTTCGGGAATTGGCCCTACGTGCCTCAGGTGCTTGGCGTTCCAAGTATGGCCGGAGGGCCTCCAGCAATCCTGGGTGCAGTTTCTCAGCCTCGTCAAAAATGAACAGGGTCTGGCGGCAGCGCTCCTGTGTCTTCCTGATCTGGTCTGCCAGCTTCTCCTGCACAGGATACAGTGAGATGCTGGGCACCAACTGGTGGCATACTCCGTCCAAACATGAGGACAACTCTGAGGAGGCACTGACTTCCCTAGGGCTTCTGCAACAGATTGCCCCCGTGGGCTCCACCCTAGAATGACCAATCCAAATGCACCTTGGAGGCATGTGTGGCCAAATGTTCCCCTGCTGATTGCTATGGACCCTCAGGTTTGAAAACCAAACAGGTGGGGCAAGTCTAGGAAGGAGAAGCCTGCCTACCCGTGGTAATAAGCCCAGATCCCAGTTTTCCTTCCCTCCACCCCAGGATGAGGTCCCCTCTCAGAACTAACCATTGACTCATCCTCCCCAAGGAGTATCACAATCAGGTACTAATATTAGGGTGACAGGCAGGCACAGGCCCAAGTGCTCCGAGGCAGTCAGTCCCCAGTCCTGAAATCCAGACTGGGCTGAGATCTTAGAAGCCTGAGGAAGACATACGGCGAAGACCTAAAGCAGGCTCGGCCAACTCACAACTGGGGCTCCCCAGGTAAGAGAACAGGCCTTCAGTTGGAAAGATGCAGCTTTGCATGTTCACTAGACAGGGCCGGTACTCCCTACCCACCTCTAGCTTCCCTGGACTGTGACTTCAGCCTCTGTCACCCAAGTGTGTGTATGGAAGACCATGCAGTCAGTTTTCTCAGTGGGGATGCTGATCTCCACAACAGGTTTGCTACAGTCAAAGCCAGCTAGTTCTTTCTGGGAAAGTTCCAGCTAACCAGGCACTTGCTCTTAGGAAATTTTATTTCCCCTGCCCTCCAAGGCCGTTTCCAGGTGATTTAGGCAGTCTCTGTCCTCCAAAGCTAACATAATATTCCCAGGTTAACACACTCCAAATATATTTGGAACTGAGAGCCAAAGACAGACACAGCCATCTTCTGCAATCTGCAGTGGATTTTGGTCATCTGGCTCATTTTCAATACTACATGTCTGAATAGAAGAGTCCCAAATAACAGAGTGGCAAAGATAGTTTGTCCACCCACTTGGCATAACAGGAGCAGTTTGGGAGAGATGGAAAGCCACTTACAGTATGTCTCTTAAACAACAAAAACAGGGAATACTAAGGAAGTACATCATAGTGCTAACTGTGTCCATGGGGGGAGATTTTGATAGTTATTGCGTCTCTCTACTCCACATTTCCTGTGACATTTCCACTACTTTCATAACAGAAAATGAATACTTGGAATCTGTTTAAGCTAAGTGTCTGGCTGATAAGGACACAAATCTTGGGACAGCGGGCTTTTTTCCACATGCCCAGGGCTTCATCTGTGCACTGGATATCTCTAAGTTACAGGTTCTGCCCCAAAGGTCACCTGCTCCACCTCCTGATCCCCAAGATTTCTCCAACACCCACCTCCTTGCAAGGAAAGGCTGGTTTCAGGGCCTCTGTTCCAACAGAAGCTTCCTCCTTCGGCTGTTTTCATTCCTGCCCCAGTTCCAATGACAGGACTCACCTTGTACAGGTCCACATATTTGGGGTGAGGAAAGTGGAGTGTAGCAATGAACACCTGCACACAGTCACTGTTTAGCCCATCCCGGTACAGGTTCTCTGCCAGCATCCTTGCCACGAAGTTCTTGCCTGTGCCTGACCAACCATGGAATGAAAGCACCAGGGCTTTGTCTGGCCGAGGCAGCTCTAAGTAGCCCCTCACGGTTCTCAGGACTAGCTCCCCAGCCAGATGTTGGCCATGCAGTCGCCCCTTCAGATCTGCCTCAAGGCCTGTGGGCAGGAAAGAGGTCACCATAAGAGGCCACCCAGGCTCAGTCCCCGCCTTTGCCTACCTCTTAGCTCTGAGTTGGAATCATTTATCCTGTTTAGCCTCAGAACAAGAAACCACACAGCAGAACTTGAAACAGCTAGGAATCACAGGCTAGTTTCTGAAATCAAGATTGCATTTGAAGGAAGAATGGAATCTCCCTTTCTGCATGGTCTGATGACATCCCAGAATAGCTGGTAAAGTCCTATTTGAAGGAGGAACCCACTTCCCACTCCCATGATGCTGTTCCCACCTGGAGTTTCAGGATCCCTAAATATTTTATGGAGATGTTTATTTATTTTTATTCATCCTATTAAGAACAGTTGGTCCCCTGCTAGGCCAGACTTCCTTCTCAGCCACAGGGTTGCAGGGTCTGGTGGCCCAGCTGTTGGGAACAAGGTGGAGTTGAGTAGTGGGTACTACCAGCTGGTCCCCTCCCTAGATACACAGAGCCCTTGGGGCCATACAAGGTCCAACCTGAGAAGTTGTTGGAGATCCTGCAGTCCCCACTGTCACAGCAATCCTGGAAGGTGCAGTACCATGTGGTCAGGATATCAAGGTACTGCTGGCCCAACAGGGGGAGGCTCCAGCCTGGAAAAGGAGAGCTGTGAGGCTGGGGGTCCCCAGGAATTACCTCCTGAAGAACTCTTATTGCCCACTTGATGTAATCCAGGAGTGTTCATCCTTTCTCCTCCCTCAGGGCCCACTGCACGCACTTCACTCCCAGACCCTTCCTGCACAAAGTCTGCATTCTAGTTGGGGCACAAACAGTAGCTGGCACCAATAAAGTCTTATTATGAGATCAACATCACTGGACCCAGAATATCCAGAGACAGGAAGGTGCTCAGGGATCATGTGGTCAATGACAGTGTTGTGACAAAACCTGCCACAAAATTTGTCAGTGACAGAGCCAGAACAAAAGTGACAGAACAAAAGTGTCAGTGACAGAGCCAGGTCCAAAAGAAAGAAAAAAACAAAAAAAACACCCAAGACTGGTGTGACCCTGCCAGTCCCAACTCTGCCTCCATTAGAGGCACCTGAGAAAGCACTTGGGGCCACCATCTGGGACATTCTTTATAGTCATATAGGTGAGGGAGGGCAGTTCCTAGGAATGATGCCAGTGGTCTGGGGGATGGCACAGTGAATGCAGCTGCCAGGAGTCAGAACAGGTGAGATGGGAGCCAGCTGGGCCTGTCCATGGGTAGGGTCACTTGGGTCCCCTGGCCCCAAAGACTCCTTAGAATACAGCAGGTCTAAAGCAGAGCGAACAGGAAGGCTGGTGGCGCAGGCGCTGGCCGAGGCCCAGCTCATGAAGCCCAGCAGGAGAGGAGCGGTAACCCCACCCCCCCTCGAGTCCCAATTCCCTCTGTAGGTGCACCTCCTGGCCTCCAAGCTGCGGCAGGCAGCCGGGTCTTACCCTGAGATTGAGCAGAGGCTGCAGCGTCCTCTTCACACTTCCCTGGCCAAATGCGACAGCTAAGGAGGGACAAGTACCGCTTGGAGAGGGCAGTGGCCTCCCGCAGCTGCTCACGTAGGCCCCGGACGCCGGGCCAGCCTCTGCCCGAGTCCTCCTCTTCAGCGCCTGCGCCCGGCCGGCTGGCGCCGAGCTGTCCAGAGGTGCCCGCGAGCAGCAGCGGTAAACAGAGCCAGAGCAGGTGCCGCGGGCCGCAGAGCATGGCGCGCGGGTCCCTGTCGCCGCCGCTTCGCCCGCAATTTAAGTCCCGCGGGCGGTACCGGTTCTTCCGCGGCCGGTGGGCGGGGACTGGTGTTGTCTAGGGAACTGCAGAAGGGCGGGGCGAACACGTGACTCTGGGCGAGCCGCACCCGCCGGAACCGAAAGCAATCTGCTGACCTGGGCATCCCACGGCCCTCGTAGGCACCGCCCACCCACGGGGGCTGGCTCCAAGGAAACAATCTATTTTGGGGTGAATGGTTACAGAGGTGAAGTCAGGCCTTCTAATGGCCACTGTCAATCACATTACTACTCCGATGGCCTATAGGAGGTTCCCAAATGAGGGCACCCGTTTGTGCCCTCTTCAGTGTCTGCAGACCAGCTTCCTGCCAACCTGTCAGATGAAACCAGGACAACCACTTCCCCCAAAGAGGGAACTGCTCAGGAGTCAGCTGAGTGGCAACCAGAGGTAGGGACATGATTTCTCTAGGGAAATAGAACTCCAGCAAAACAAAACAGAACAAAACAAACAGCTGCTTTCAACAGTTGGAGTGCACCAAAGCAAGAAGAGACTGGGATTTGGAAACCCCAGAGTCATGAGTAAATCTTAAGTCTCTCGTCAATATCTCATTTCAGTGAAAAGCTGGGGATGAACGGTTTGCACTTTCTTGGCTGAATTTGCAACTTTCAACTGCAGATGAGCATCAGACAAAAGACTAGCAATAAACTTTTTGTTTGGAATTTCTCTCTAACATAAACATAGAACATGCTTGTCCGTTTCAGAAGAACGTGATGCATTTTTCAAAATCATCTGAGTTACTGATGCCACAGGCCTCGGAGCTCTATCTGGTCCTAGGATTAACTGCTGTCTGGGACTTGACCAACACTATATATCCAGTGGCTCTGAGGTTGGGTTCTCCAGGCATGGAGATGAATGCTGGTGTCATATCTTACAGACATCACAGGTAAGTTGCTTCTTACATTCATCTTAGTCTCTCAACTCACAGATTCCGATAGGTCTGCTCCTTGCTTCACTGTTCACCAGATCTGCTCCCGCCTTTCATCCAGATAGCCACAGGTCAGATAAATACCAACTAATGGTAACTTGAGAATTAAATTGAGAAGGATGTTAGGTATATATGTGTCTGAACCCCTATGTTGTTAAAACTGAACCCAAACCTTCCATGGAGCAATGATTAGTAACATTGCACAGCATTATATATTGTAAATGCAATCAAGCTCATGAAACCCTTCAGAAGACAGTTAACAAGGGACAACATTGTGCTTATTTGGAAATTGAAGACATCAGCTCTTCCAGACGTGTGTGAGCAAGAATGGTAGTCTAATATAGAACTTTAGGGATGGCCTATGCTAGTTTTCCTTTCCCTACCAGTTTCTATGTGTGACCCGTAAGTGCTATTTAGCTGTCTGTGGTAATATCCTTACCCATACAATGGGCACCTGAGAAGGATTACTATGAAGCTGAAGAGCTAATTGTTACACATTAATTTTTGTTACTGTATATGCCCTGCCCTGGAGACAGCTCTAGATGGTATCCAGGAGGCGTGAATGACTTTATTTATACTTGTGAGATTTATAGGTAAATTTGTGATAAAAATCTTTTTTTTTTTAATATTTATTTGTACATACAGAACTGGGGTACAGTCCAGAGACTCAGGGGTGGCAAGAGGCTTCACCAGAGACAGAGTGGGGAACGAACAGGCAGATCTATGAAGTACACTGCTGAGGGGAGCAGCTGGCGGGTCAGGAGAGGTCTGCCACACCATGTGGTCACCTCCGGGGCAGGCAGGAATCGAACTCATGCGGAAGTGGCTTTAGCTTCTCAGTGCAGTGCTTTAACCCGCTGCACTACCAGGGAGGGTCCTGTGATAAAAATCTTTTTAAAATCCCAGTTTTAAGAATGTAGAAATAATTCTCTACTTATAACCTCCATGTAGGGCTAACTGCTAATTCCTGAAATGCCTTTTTTGTGGGTTTAGCATATCATGGTAAGTAAAATAGGCAGTTCTTAGACAAATAACTTGATTTTGAGAAAGTATTTCTTCTCCTAAAAAGGGAGGTAAACACCAGTCAGTTCCACAGAAACAATGAATCTGCATATCAGTTTTAGAACAAACCTCTGTATTAACTATTGAGATGTCTCAGGCCTGAAGGCTGCTGGCTACAACTTCTAGGAGTTGCATGGATGATGGGGACATCTAGGGGCTGTTGTGAAAACTGCAGGCAGCGAATTCCTCAGCCAGCAAAGCCTTCAGTGCTGCTACTTGTGTTGTTTAAGGACCAGTGGCACTGGCGTCATCCAGGAGTTTTTTAGAAATGTAGACTCTCATGCCCCAAACTTAACCAATGTCTTCAAGATCTTTGTAAGAGAAAAACGGGCCACAACACCTTTACTGAGGTATTCTGAATGGGATCTAGTTTTGCAATAGCATCTCCTGACCCTGCTGAAGGTAGTCAGAACATCATCTGCTTTCAACAGTCTTTGGGTAAAAAATCAAGTCTTTATCTCCATATTGTAATATACCTGGCAAGTAAAAAACAAATTCTGAAAACATACAATGAATCTGTTATAGTTCATTTATATGCCTGTGGCTCCTTTGACATCCACACCACAGAACAACTGAGTCATCACGGACTAACACTGTTGTCTCAAGACGAAACCACACTGGATGAAAACCACGGGAAACACTGGAAGTGATTACTCCTGTTGACATATGCATAGACGCAAGCACGGGGGTCAATCTCACCCTCTTTAATATAGGCCCTGCCTACCATTCACTCTTTCAATCCTCCACAGTTCTGTCCAGCTCCTTAGTGCTTAGGCATTTAGTGCTTCAAAAACAGTTCTCTCTGCTAGGATAGGCTCTTTAAGGAAAAGGACAGTCACTATTACTTGGTGCACCCACAGCTCCCAGCACAATGCCCAATGTCTGCTTAGCCAGCTTTACAACCTATAACTGAATACAGTCCTAAGAGGCCCACCCATGTCGATCCAATAAGCATGACTATCTTTTTACAAAAGGATGGCTGCTAAAAAATGCACTTCTTATAGGCAAATACACTGAATAATAAATTCATGCATGAGAGAACCATGCCCTCCCTGCTCACAGCTAGGTCCTCAACCTTTCATTTCAGTCTCTGACATGGCTGAGAAGTGAAGAAAGACAGAAATCTCACCTGCAAAATGATCAAATGTGTGTAGTGAGTCACTGAGGAGCATATACGAGGTCCAGTCTCCCAGCAGTCAGGTATGAATGACAAAAACCAGCACAAACAAAATGATACAAATCAAGTAAAAAATCTGAAGAACACTGCCCAGTTGAGGTTTATAGTGCTGAATTTCCATTTCAAATGGTAAACATCTAGATGTTCTAAGAATTACATTGGAAGCAACTGGTCTTCTCTTGTATGACTATAGATGCTATACAGAAAAGTTCTTTGGGATTCTTAACTTTGAAAGAAGCTGCAAGTGTGGAGTTAACTACTGAATATATACTAAAGAATTATTCTGTGGAAATGTTGATATAGATAGAATCTGGTATGAGCCTTTTGAAGCTGAGTGACAATCACTTAGCTATCATATAGATACTATGAAACAATGTGTGTGCAAGTGGGTAGAGATAATGTAGTTTGTCTTCTGTCCCCTAATAAAACACATAGAAAACTGGAACAGACAATAACGGAAATATCCTGCAAGGAGGGGGGGAAACAGAATAAGAGGAAAAGATGACATTGATACTTATTAAAATCTTTATTTTCTTCCCCCCCGCAAGAGTCGAAACTCCATAGAACACATTAGAAATTTAGGCGCGCATCTGTTTTGTCTGGTATCTTACCAAGTACAACCTCTACTTTGTGCAACAGCTCTAAGAGGACATCCTTGGTAGATTCAAACAGAGGGCACTCGTTCCTAAACTTCCCCATAAGCAAATAAATTAACTTCCCAGTAAGTTATTCCCTACCCACCCATCCCCAACATTTTGTGTTTGTAACACCTTAGTTCTTTGTAAACCCAGGCAGTGCAATGCCAAGGTCCCACCTTTTCAACATAGACTCAAGGACTCCAAAGGAGAAAAACCGGCCCTCTCCTGTAAGACAAGTCCCTTAAAGTCAGGTCTACCTGGTGCACTCACGGGTCCAGCTGGGTTGCTCAGTAGGTGTCTGCTGAATGAATGGTCTTTATGTCACTTAGGGTCCACTTTAAGGGACTGATGAGAGAACATTTTACTAGCTTCAAGTTTTTTATCAACATAAGTTTTTTATCAACATAAGTCAGTGCTTCCCTGTGTCAAAATAAATACATTTTTCCTTGCTAGAATACATATATGACTATGTACATACATATACCTTTACTTCTGTTTCCTGAAGCTCAAGCTCACAGGATGACTCCTACGAGACACTCACTGACAGATGCTGTGTCACCATCACCGAGGTGTGTTCATTCACTGGTCAAACAAAGCATACAGGGACCACCAAAAAGAGAGGCTGAAGGTAGTCGGTGGATGGACAGGGAAGGCCAAAAGCCTATTTCTTTTAAGAAAAGATGACTATCTCTGAAAGAACATGTTGCCTTCAGGTGACACTGAAAAGCTGCCATGTATAGGGTCATCTTATATGCAATGAACATACCTGAATTCTTCCACTTCCTCCTTAAATTTCATTTGGCATATTAATCCTGAGTTCAAACAGGGAAAAATGCCTTATTAATAATATATTATTGAACAATACTCTTGAGCAAATTAGATCCTATTATTTTTTCCTTTACACTCAAACTCATAGTCTCATATTAAAGAACAATTTTAGAATGAAACTTCTATACTCCTATTTCCCCACTCAGACTTTGGAATGAACATATTTAATATGTGGGAGGGCAGTCAGTTCTGATTTTCCTAATTTTATGATACTTCTTAATTATAATATCTGATTTTATGATAAAATGTGTCCATATCTACCTTTAGCTATCAGCCAAACACACCCAACTTAGGCATGGCCAAAAGCCCTTCCAAACACTTGTTTAATTATAATAGTGCCAGATTCTATCAATAATAAACCAGAAAGAGCACAAAGTGAAAAAACTTTTTTAAAAAGTATCTACCTCTTTTTTTCAAACACAATTGTGTTTGTAAATTTTAGGGCTGCAGGCTTAGAGCTGATTTTCTCCAAGATATTCCTAAATACAAATTTCTAGCTTAATCCAATCCTGACTGAGGACATCAATTTATACTCTTAGTGTCAGGTCACACCACTCTATAGCCTGAGTCTAACTTTAACTACCTTTTAAGACTTTGAACTTAAAATAGTAGGGAAAGGGAATGAATATTTTCTTTAATGTTTTGAGAAAAACATTGAGACATTTTTCAAAGCAGCTTTTCCTCTCTTGTTTTTCTTTAGCAGAATCTTCTGCCCTCAACAATAAGAGTGAAGGCCCCAGTCTGAGAACATTTCTTAGCTGTTTTACTGTGGTACACTAAAGGGATGATGTTTTTGAAAGAATACTAATCGATAATTTAGTTCAACTAACATTTACTGGAAAGCAGTGCTGACAGGAGCCCCCCCCCCCTTCCCTCCTGCTGGCTCCCAGTGAGCAGCAGCACTGCTGTTCTCAAGCCCAACTGTGGGTCTCCCTTGATACAAACAATAGACAGTCTAAAAATTGGACCCATGCCTCCTTTTGTTAACACTATTTCCATGTTTTGTGCTAATAACGTTTTTAAATTCAATCCCTTCTTTAAATAACTCAGCCCATTTTTGTGTACATCTCAATGAAAAGAAAGTTCAAGAAAGTACAAAAGTATCCTAATTTCATCGTATTTTAAAATAGTTAAAGATTACTCAGTTATTTCTCAAAGTAAGACAATTGGGGCATATATTCAAACTGTTTTTGAAAAGGTGGTTGCCTAAAACTAGCCTCCAATGACTGGCATTAAATGTGTTCAGCCACACTGATTAAACATTAGTCTCTGCTGAACCAAAGGACACTAAGACAAGACGCAGGGGAGAAGCACCCAGCTGAGTCCACTGTGTGGGCACATGCCTGTCCTCTGCTGACCAGTGTTAGACTCAGCTGCTTACATGTCAGGACTACATTGCCAGAACACAGAACAAAGCCTGTGTTTTAACACCTTGAAATGTGTGAATGCTAAAAGGAGACAAGAGCGACACTAAGTATAGGTTTAGAACATCAAACAAAATTAAATGAGGGAATTAAGGTTTGACATAAAAATCTTAAGGCTCTTCCTGGTAACCTCCTTAATTTTAAGGCTCAGAAGGCTTAAAATCTTTGTTTCTAGTCTTCCACAGGGCCCAAATCCCAAGTAAGTCCAGTCACCAGCAAGATGTGCACGATCATCTGTCAGAGAGAGCTGGCTTTCTCACAAGAAAGGCACACAGAACTGCCATCTCTTGGGAATAGCAGCTTCAATGATCAAATGCCTTAAAGGCAGAGGTGAAAATTCATTTCAGAAAAGAAATGAAGATGGCAAAGATCATAGGCAAGCTAACTCCTATTCAAGGTGTTGTTGAAGTTTGCTTGGTTAATCTGAAAAGGATTTACCTGCTTTGGGCAAAAGGGGGAAAAAATATCTCCATAAGAGACTTATGCTTGGATTGTAACAGGATGCTCTCTAGAAACAATTTTTTGGTTAAGTTGAACACAACTGTGAGAAAGTAGAGTTTACTTAGGTACAAATCATGTTTGCTTTTACACATCATAAGAACTTAAATACAGGGGAACCTTTTTCTCTCATATTGAATCATCTCCTGGATTCTGGTTCTACCAAATGGGTCTCTCTCCTTCCCTTCTCTAAAAAGTTTCAAAAGCACTACTACCTAAAAGCTTAAAAGCCCAAATACCTTTCCTGCTTTAGTCTTTCTTCCAATTCTATCTTAAAAACATACCCCTCTTAGAGGTTGCTGTTTTAGCTCAACAGAATGCCAAGTTTTACATGCCGCCACTCCTGAGGAGACAACTAGCCCCAGCTGACTAATCTTGGTAAAAAAGGATTCAAGAGGCTGCAAAATAGCTTCAGAAAATCCACAGGTGTGGAGAATGGACATAAGATTGAATTCAAAACACACACTCCAGAACCAATACCAGCGTTAACCTATACAAATGTCAAACGCTTCTTTGTCCTTTGGCCTAAGACTGAGTGACTCTGATGCCCACTGCTAGAACAGACGAATGCCCAGGAATTCAAAAGGTGGTTCAGCAGGAACATTTCCATTGTCTGAAACTTACACTCTTTGCTTTCGCTTCCAGCACACAAAACACCAAAGAAATCCAAGATACCCTGCCCCCGATCACCAGAACTTGGTCATTCCAATCCATCTCCTACCATTTGGAATTGATTGTGCTGTTTCTCTATCTTTGTAAAAAGAAGTTTCACTTATTTTGTGTTGCAAGTTACAAGTGGGAGAGCGGCATCCTGTCTTCCACCAGTACAGTGTCCATCCCAAACTGGTCAGTGCACTGCTTCACGGTGGCCAGGACACTCAGGAGCCGCTGGTCTACAGCGTCCAGATGAGGGTCAGAGAGCACTGGAGCAATGGGGTCATGGACCATGGCAGATTTTAAGGCAGACTTCAGCACACCATTCTTTAGGTAGTTCAGTCTGTTCCAGGTAGAAACCCGAATGCTGGAAGAAAAAGATTTAGGACAGGTTACAAAACATCTATCACATGGGGCTTAAAGCAGACAAAAGTAAAGAAATAATCATAAATAATCATATAAAATGATTAAATAAATTGAGTAAGTCACCTTACATTTTATATGTTATATGAGTAAGTAACTGCAATATTTTTTCTGGGTTATTAATAGACATATGTACAAAGACCTAACTACTTACGTTCATTGCAGTCTCTAACAGGAAAAATATGGGATAACCTGAGTGCCCAATAGTTAAGGAATTAAACTATGGCTCAACAATGTAAAGGATTACCACGTAGTCATGAAAAGTTTTGAAATGCAGTGGCAGGGAAAATGCCCGTGACATAATACTGGGTGGTAGAAAAAGTTGGAGGGGGAGAAAACTGTTTTACTCCAAATGTGTAGGGAAAGAAAAGTGTACACACACCCAAACATAAACACAGTACAAAGTACAATGTTCCTAAGAGTCATCCTTAGATGTTTACAGGTAATTTTAACTTCCTACTTTTTGTCTCTGAATTTAAAATATTTCTACCATTTCATCAACAAAACAGGATCTTTCGTTTATCTCAATACATAACATACCTCCCTGTGGGTAATGTGGAAATTATCAAGAAAAGATTGACTCTGTAGGAGACAGCCTGCTGTGCCACCTTTTCTAAGAGTTAAGGAAAACCTTAACTGTTAAACACCTTAACTTTATCCATCATGGTGGAGAAAGCATGGACAGAATGGATAAGCAAAGAGGTATCTACTCTCCTTTCTCAGTAGAGGATGCTTGTCAATCATAGGGTCTCCTGGATGCTAACAGAAGACAGGTGATGTGGGGAAGTACATCCAACAGAGTGCAGGGTATACTATATCAGCCCTGGCCATGATACCAGGACTGTGAGGCTCTTGGTGACTCAGGAGGAACCAAGGTTATCTTGACACAGAGGACCAGAGCCCAGAGGCCGCCAGCAGACCCACAGACACTCTTCTGCTGAGCTGTCCCCGTCTGTGTGCCAGGCGACTGCTGCTGACGGCCTGTCTCCACGTGCGCTGTTTGCCCAACAGAGCTGCTTCCTGTTGGCTCGCGTCTGCACACAGTGACCTCTTCCTCCAGGGGCCTGAACTACACCTTCCCCACCCAGGTCCAAATCCCAGCCTTTGAGGGGGTTCCCTTCCATGTGTGCCCTTCTTTAGGCCTCTAATACAAACTGGTATCAGAGTTTGAGGTTTTTCCATTAAACTTTCCTGTTTAACTTTTTTTTTTTCTATCTTCTGATTGAACCAGACTGTTAATACTGATATTAAATAAAAACATCTCTTCAAAGATATGTTTTTTTGGATGAATCACTGCTTTCAAATATTAATGTAGATATAATTAAGCACTGCTTGAGGAAACTATTACTTCCTGCAAGTGGGAGGGAGGGAAGGGAGAAGGAAGGGAAGGAGGGAGGGAGGGAGGGAGGGAGGAAGGAAGGAAGACAGGCCAGTTGCCAGGAGGGACAGTGTCTCTGGAGGCAGAGCCTTGGGCCATGGTGCTTCCAGATTTGTACCTCTGTACAGTCAGGCAAAGAGGCCCCATAGAGCCTAGTCTGTATTTTATTTTCTTGATTTACTTTTTAATTTCTTCGTTCCCTAAAACAGACTTTAAAAATCCATTACTGGCCCTCCCTGGTAGTGCAGCGGGTTAAAGCACAGCACTAAGCTAAAGCCACTTCAGCATGAGTTCAGTCCCCACCCTGAAGGTGATCCACATGGCGCTGGCGCGGCAGACCTCTCCTGACCCGCCTGCTGCTCCCCTCTGCAGTGTACTTCGTCAATTGGCTTGTTCTGCTCCCCACTCTGTCTCTGGTGAATCCTCTCACCGCCCCTGCACCTTTGGCCTGCACCTCAGTTCTGTATGCATAAATAAATATTTTTTTAAAAAATCATTACTAACTACCTATGGGAAAAGTTTACATAATTTCACATTGAGATATGTAAACCTACCTAAAGAGGCCTGTTCTAATAGGACTTGAAACCACCAGATAAATAGACCATAGCATTCAGGGACACAAACTATACTAGATTTGGGGGGAGATTAGAGGGGTCGGGTGGAGGAAGACTATATTTCGATATAAAAGCAGATATGGATATTGAACAGATTGCAATTTTCTATTCATACATAGCTTGAAATGAATCTCACCTTTGGATTACCTACCTTTACCTTTCCCTGACCTCCCAGCCTTAATATCTCCAGGGGTTTTGAGTTAGAAAAACATGAAAGTCATTGCTCATGTATTAGGAAGTTTAAAGGTCAAGAAAATGGATGTGATGTTACCTAAGCCTGGAAAGGCAGACAGCACAGACACATGTCTTTGATGTGTCTAACTTACATGCAACACTGATAGAGAGGGGCAAGGATGCTTCTCTCATCCAGCGAGGGGTTCCCAAAGCTGAAAATTAAATGAAAATTTAGTGAATTAGGTGGAAGTGTCAGCTCCCTTCTTAGCATTAAAACAGAAACAAATTCTGTAAGAAGCCCACATGTGATCCCGGATAATTTCATGATCCTGTAGCCCAAATCACTTAATTAAGAATTTAATACAGTACACACACATGGTTTTTAATGATACGCATCTGAAACATAATTTCAAAATGCAATGTTACTTCAATAAAAAGCAGACAAATAGGGCATTACCAATTAGACACAGGATTCCTAAGAGCCTATACTGCAATATTAAACAACAAATATACTAATTTACAAGGATTCTTCCTTCTGCTAAGAGGTTGCAAGGAGCTAAAACATAACCATGGCGACACAGCATGTAGCCCACCAACCAATGGGAGAAACTGAAGATCTCAAGCCCGGAAAGGTTTTAAGGGTGAGCAGGGAAATACAGGCTATTCACATGAAGTGCCCCCAAACAAGCAGATGGACTACCAATCAGAAAAGATTTGGATTATACTATTCCCACACTTATATGGACCCAATCAAACTGGAAAAAACTGCTCAGAAAGGCTAAGATAACAGTGATTCAAAGCAGATGTCACACTAATCTTATCAGTCATTCAGTTAGTAGAGGAGAACTGATTCTGAAAAATCTGTAATTCTTCCATTGTTTTCCTGGTGGATCAACTTTCCAGCCTGGGAGTCCTTAGGGCTGTGCAGGCCCTCGATAACAAATGGCAAAAGCTACTCTTTCCATGTGCATTTCCACAGTACACATGATCTTAAAATAATACAGATTTAATGGGTAAGGATGAAGTTTTCAGGAATGTCCAGAGTGCTGGTTACTGCTCTGCTTTTAGGTCAGAGGCAGTGTTTGCTGGCCTCTTTTGCTTATTGTACTGTCTCCATCTTCACAGGGCTCATCAGCTCTTCATTGGTGTAAGGTGACACCACCAGCAAATAGAGCCCAAGCACTGCCTAGCTGAGGACCCGCATCTCAGTTTATTCCTAGTAACCAACACTGACAGTAGTGTCTGGACAATTCTGGGCTCCTAGGAAGTATTCTATTCAGCAAAACTTCAATGTCAGTTAAAGTGTGGTATCGAACTTGGCACCGTGGAGAATGCAGAATACAAACTGGAAATAAAATGATCTCAAGTAGTCAGACCTAAAAATATAAGGACAGTCTATTTATTAAAAGTTAATAAGCATGTCTAAATAAGCCAGAAAGTAAAAGAAAAATACTAGATGGTTTTACTCATAGCAGGGGCATAAAGAACCCGGGGTGGGGGTAGCGGATAATAATAATAATGAGCAACTATATACTAGAGACATTTTATAGGGTTGGAGTGGGGAGTGGGGTCAAATATGGGGGGTGGGCAGAAGTGCACTGGACTATGGTGATGGCACACAGGTGATTTGGTGATGGGAAGCCCACAGGGATTACAAGTGAGATGGAAAAAGGTACAAAATGATATAAAAATAAACTATTATAATAGTAAAAAATATATATTTCAATGATAGGAAAGGTATGTCTGAGCAATTAAAAAAAGTTAATAAGCATGTCTTATTTGGATAAAAATCACTATCATTAAATATAAAACTGCAACTGCTTTTCTTCCTATGGTAGTAGAGTCAAGGCCTAGATTGCTATGAAATCGCAGAAGATCCCATCAAATTAGCTGATCCTTTTAAACACCATGAAACTTTGGCTAAGGTAAATGATAAATAGCAAGTTCTATTAATATGTTTCTCAAAAAACTGAACACCAGTCAAGAAAGTGGGATACAAGAGGACTGATAATCAAAGACCTTGGAGTGTGAGGAGGATGAAAGTGCTTGATTCCTTGGAATAAACTACTTTCCATTTTGAAAGTCCTCCCAACCCTTAAGCTGGAGGGAGTACAAACTCTGGAGATGTGAAGATGGGTGCCACCAGCAAACACCACAAGCTGCTGCAGGGAGGATGCCTCCCAACAACTGTTCTGAATGTTTTCTAGGATACCCTAGACAATGTCCTTGTGTACACAGACACCCCTTTCTGACATGGAGAATCCTGCTGGGCCTACCTTTTGGCATTATCGAGCAGGATGAGCATACTTGCACCTTCATCGTCTTGAAAACTCTCGTAGTGATGGCGGTCGGCATTGCCAATCAGGTAGTCGAAGACAGCGGTGTCAATGATGTCCAGAAGGCGTGGGCCGGAATCATATGGGGATGTTTTCTTCACAGCATCACAGTAGCTCTCATCATACTCCCACCTGGAGGCGAGCAGCACCCCAGGGTGTTTATGGAGTGCCAACACAGGCCTGGCAGTGCTTAAATCACAGAGCACAGAGTCCCTGCCTTGTGGGTTTGCCCCTACTCCCACAGTCCTTTCCAGTCTTGGACAGAACCCTTGCTCCTACACAGGAATGGCACCTGTGCCTGGGACCTGCCAGGCACAGGACAGAAAAGCAGTGGCTCATGGGGGCATTTACCTGGCCAATTTGCCCTCTCGGTAAGTCCTGCCCCACGGGTGTCGGTGTTTCTGCAGAGGCCACACATCTGGAAGCCAAAGTGTGACAGATCCCTCCATAGTGTCTCCATCAGCACACGCTGGCTCTGTTTCTCGGCAGTAATAACACTTTCCATAGAAACAAGTGTTATTTCCTAAAGGGAGAAGGAGCCAAATATACTTAAAAAGGTGGACGCTAAATTATCCCCCAACAATGTAGAAGAGAGCAACCAAGTATACTCCCCCAACTTACTTACTGTATTTAAGACACTCACTTGTTTTCCATACACTAAGAATATTATACTAAGTTCTTGCTTTCACTCTATGTTCAGTATCTTTCCCAGGACTCAACTAGTGTCACAAGCTTCTTTCTGAACTCACTTTAATAAAAGGAAAGCAATATCCTCTTCTCTATCTAGAGGCTGAGAGTCTGGCTGGAGTGCTTAGGGGAAGGAGAATGGGCCAGGAGTTGGTTACATTATTTATGGGAGTGGGGGTGAGGTATTGAGCAAAAAAGTAAATAGACTGAGGAAATGGCAACCAGGTTTCTCATAGACAGAGAGAATTTAATATACAGAAAAAGAGGCCAGAGTAAATCACTTCATATTAAATTAGAAATGGAGTAAATGGTTTGATTTGATGATTCAAGATATAGAAAAAGATACAATATGTGTGCTTATGTATGGACATACACATTTATGAATAGACATAGAGAGTTCAGAAACTGAAGCACAAACAAATGAAAATTTACTATAGGAGGAAAATGACACTCTTTAATAAGTGCTAGATGGAAAAGTGATACCTATCTGGAAAATAAGCCTAGTTGGAGTAATACCCCATTATATATACCAAGAAAAGCTCCAGTTAACATTAAAAACTTAAAATGTGGGGCCTCCCTGGTGTTAAGTGTAAGCATTATGAAGCTCTCAGCAGCCACTGCAGCATGAGTTCAATCCCTGACCAAGGAGCTGACCCACATGGCACAGTAGACCTCTCCTGTCTCACCCAGCGCTCCACTCAGCAGTGTATTTTAGTCATTCTGCCCATTCTGCTCCCCACTCTGTCTCTGGTGAATATATTCAAACCCCTCCCACCTCTGGCCTACATCCCACCTCTTGCATTCATAAATAAATATTAAAAAAAAAAAACTTTAAATGTGAAAAGTAAAACAAACTGGAGAAAAAAGGCAGAATTCTTCTATTATCTTTGAGAGAGCAAGGCTAATGAGTAAAAATCAGAAAATCTATCAGAAAAGATGGATGAATTACATGAAAAACAAAAATTTCTGTAAGGCAAAAGTTAACATAAGCAGAACCAAAAATTAAAGAACTGGGAAAACTTATTTATATATCCTCCCTACTTGTAAGCACCTATAAGTTGATAAAACCAACTTATAAGTCTTCCTTAGCTGAAAACAAGGACACACAAAAACAGACAAAAGAAAATACAAAAAAAACTCTTACTAAAACAAAAGATGCTACAGGTGAAATAGACAAAAAAAATAAAAATTTGCTCACACACTGTTGATGCATCTTGGGGAAAGTGGCATGCACACAGCTAGTAGCTGTGAGAGAGAGATGTGCCTTTGACTTTAGCTTCTGATCTATTCGATCATGTGTACATGATCACCGTGAGCAATACCAATTATAAAAACAGCATGTTAGAACATATATATCTAATAATGCCCTCGTTAAAGGAGTTGTGGTAGATCCAGACAATAGAACACTGGTAAAATAACAAAAAAACCTAAAAGTACTTTATATGTGATAATGGCAAGATTTCCAAGATATATTAAATGAAAAGAGTAAGCTGCAAAAGTATGTTTGGTGCAACATACTATATAATATGGTAATTAATATTTAAAAAATACATATTAATATAAAAAGGGCACTAATAAACTACTAATAGAGATTACCATTGGGAGGAAGGAAAAGGAATAGATAAAAGGAAAATTTTTCATTGCAGTTCTCTTAATACTTTCTCTAAAAGTTAAAATTGTGTGACTACAGACCTCTCCTAACCGCCTGCTGCTCCCCTCAGCAGTGTACTCAGTCAGCCAGCCTGCTCTGCTCCCCACTCCATCCCTGGTGAATCCTCTCATCACCCCCACATCTCTGGTCTATACCCCAGTTAAAAAAAAAAATTGTGTGACTGTATTACAGATTCAAAAATTAAATTAAACATTGCCTGGTATAGAGAACCTGTTGCCTACAAGACAAAATCCAAATTCCTGAGTTTCGTAAATAAGATACTTCATAACTGAATGGTGTATGTTATATTGGTTAAGAGTTTGGGATCTGAGTCAGGTTTCTGGAGTTAAAATATACACTGTGATAGTTATAAGACTGGAGACTGGAGAGCTCTGGGCACATCATTTTGCCTCTCTAGGCACCTTTTGTGAGATGGACCTAAAAATTCCCCCACCGATGGGTTGTGAAGATTCACTGGTATGGTCACCGGTAATGCTCAACACAGGGCGTACATGTTGTCAGAGCAGTCAATGTCAGCAATTATTTATTAATAATGTTTCTGATCTACCTTCCCAGACTTCAATATTCCTTTTTACTGCAAGAACTTGATGTCCTGAACCTTCTACTATTTCCTGGATATGCCAAACTTGTAAAACTGGTTCTGATCACCATGCTCTCCTTGGTGACTACCTTCAGCCACACACTCTCTCCAAAGCTTAAGACTTTAGTTCCTAAATGACCAGTCAACATTTACTCCTGGATGTTCCTGTTAAGATTCTGCACTCGGCCCTCCCTTGTGGCGTAGTAGGTTAAAGCACAGCAATGAGAAGCTAAAGCCATTTCTGCATGAGTTTGATTCCCGCCTGCCACGGAGGTGACCACAATGCGTGGCAGACCTCTCCTGTCTCTCCCACATCTCCCCTCAGCAATATATTTCTGTGGATCTGCCTGTTCTGCTCCCCACTCTGTCTCTGGTGAAGCCTCTCGCCACCCTTGAGCCTCTGGCCTGTACCCCAGTTCTGTATGTACAAATAAATAAATCTTTAAAAAAAAAAAAGATTCTGCACTCATCTCCACTGTGTGAGTTCCCCCACCCCAACATCACCAAGCAATTCTCAGACATTATGTGGGTGTCTCCTGGGAGGCAGCATCAGATCCACAGCTTGAGGACACAGTCCAAAAGGACATTCCCCATTTCAGATACCAATTCCAAGTCCAGACTGCTATCTGTGCTCATCATCAACTGGCTATAAATCAAAAGTTTTTACAAGCCTCTCCTTGGGTCCACTAACCTGCTAAATACTTCGTAGGACTCAGGAAACCAGCTTATTCACTAGATTATTGGTTTATTATAGCAAAGCATACAATAAACAGCCAGATTAAAAAAAAAAAAATACATAGAGTGAGCTCTCAAAGCTTTCTGTCTTCGTGGAGTTTGGGTCCTGGGATGTTGGTACAGAGGAATGCTTAAGTTCACCACCTAGAAGCTCGCTAACCCTCACACTATTAGTTGTTTTTTTTTTTTTTAAGATTTATTTATGCATACAGAACTGGGGTACAGGCCAGAGGTGCAGGAGCAAAGGATTCACCAGAGAGAGCAGGAAGCAGAACAGGCAGACTGACGAAGTAGTACACTGTTGAGAGGAGCAGTGGGCAAGACAGGAGAGGTCTGCTGCACCATGTGGGTCAACTCCCTGGCCGAGGATCGAACTTGTGCTGAAGCGGCTGCAGCTAGCTTCACAGTGCTGCGCTTTAACCTGTTGCGGCCCCAGGGAGGGCCACACACTATCAGGTTTTTAGCAGAGCCTTCTTTATGCTGGGATGATCAGTTCTCTATCTCCCAACCCCCCATCATATCTCTCTAAAGAAGGGGTTGTCCATATTTTTATTATTTCCTACTATTTTGCCCAATACCTTTCTTCTTTGCTGCTTGGGTTGGTCCTCAGTAGCCAATCTCAGTGTGAATCACCTCCTCCACAAACCTGTCTGACTTCTCCCTTCCCCACCCTTGCACAGTGTATGACTTTCTGTGGGTCTCTGGAGAGCAAGGACTCAGTCCTACTCTTCTCGACCTCCTCTCATCCATCAGGAATTCATGTTTGCCTGAGCCCAAAATTGGACAACCAAAGCCATTAGAAAATATATGAAACAAATCAGTGATACTGTATGCTTCTAGTCATTTGTAAGGACAGCATGGTCCTAGCTGTATAAGTTTAAATTCTGAATGATGAACCTGTCACAAGTCCTTTAAATATTTATTTTACCTCATTTTAATTGTAAATTCATTCCATGGAGCAAAGCAAGGTGAAGTTCATCTTGCAATGTCTGTTTCAAGTCATATCACAATGTAGAGCACTGTCACGGAAAATGTCACTATGAAGAGACAAGTGACCACAACACCTTTTAATCCTCTTAATTCTTCCCATCCTCACTATGCCCATAAAGAAAACAGCAGCAAGAATCTCAGCTCAGATCCCTCACCAGAGAATGAGATGAGGGAGAACAGGGACCAGTAGTTCTATGCACAATTAGTCTGGGCTAACCCTTGCAGAGCAGCAGAAAACAATGGTGACCTTCAAGGCCCAAAGCAAGCCTACATGGGAATTTCTGACCCTCTTACAAAGTCACTTAAGATTTCCTCAGGTCAAAGGAGACAGGTCCCAAGAAAGTACATGTGTAAGAAAAAACTTCCAAGATAATGATATACAGACAATGAAAGATTCAGGTCAAAACCTAATTTAAAATTTAGTTCAAGGTCAAGCAGTTACCACTTATTTACATTAAGTAAATGATGTCATTTCACACACAACAAAGCACATTTGGGAAAACGTCCAATTTCTTGACATCTACCTATAGGTCCATTTTCTCCAATAATCTGAGAACAAGTTGGTTGATTTGTTTGTCTATTTTTGAATTCTTCAGTACCCAACAGTCACCAGCTTGTTCCACGATGCCCCATTCAGCTTGCTAACCATGCTCTTATTTAATGTCTAAATATCCTCTGTACTCTCCTTACCTACAGTCAGGAAGGTACTCAGGAGCTGCTCCGTGGCAACAGGCTTGATCTCTGTGCGCAGATTCACAAATCTGCCAACCACCAAGGGGGCTCTGCGGAAACCTAGAATCCTTGTTTGAAAAGTTGTAGAACAGAAGAGAAAAATCTTTAGGGATGTATTTTATTAACCTTGGAAATTATGACAAATCAACTTTGATATGTAAAGATCCTGTTGCTAGATATTTTTAAATACTGTTAAATATTTTTAGAGGTACCTATATTTATGAGTTTAATATCAGAATGTGTATAATTTGTTTTAATATATAATTCAGCAAAAAAGATAAGGCAAATCTGGTAAAATGTAGATAATTGCTAAATCTAGGGAGTGAACATATGGGTTTATTATACTATTCTCTCTGCTTCTCAAATTTTTCCATAATAAATTTTAAATAAATGTTAACAAAGCATTTGAGAAAAACTAGGCCTAACCCCATATATGGGTTCAAAGCTTTGAATAAAACAGCACACTGGTGGCGCAGCGAGTTAAAGCACAGCACTAGAAACTAAAGCCACTTCCACATGAGTTCGATCCCCGCCTGCCCCAGAGGTAACCACATGGCATGGCAGACTTCTCCTGACCCGCCTGCTGCTCCCCTCAGCAGTGTACTTCATCGATCTGCCTGCTCCCCACTCTGTGTGTGGTAAATCCTCTCACCCTCCACATCTCTTGCCTGTACCCCAGTTCTGTATGAATAAATAAATCTTTAAAAAAACAGCATACTGACAGAAAATGATACAGATTAAGCAAAAGGATAGAACCACAGACAATTTAAATACTTATGTATGAAGATACTTCTCCTTAATGGTCTCAAAGTACAACCTTATGTCAGAGGTCAATTATTTTTTAACACATGGAATTTCCTAGCTAAAAAAATACACACCCACTTAAAAAAATGTGTGTGACAGGATTTGAAACACAGAGAACATTTATAATGAAGGATATAAAGGTTGTCATAATTTTACAACCCCAAAATCACATTTTGACACAAGACTGTTTTCTTTACAAGTACATTAATGCCCACTCACTCAGGTATATATACACAACTGGGGTTATATTATATGCACCTGTTTGTGTACCTTGCTTTTCACACATCATTAAATGGTGACACTTTTCCCATGTCATTCGAAAGTCCTTAAAAACAGCTGTGTAATAAACAATCCATTCATTGTTCAGGATTATGGATGATTCTGTTCTAAACTTAATGTTAGTAAAGTCACAAAGCAATGGGATCAAACAGAGCATAACATAAAAACTGAGAGCATCCTGAGACTAGGGAAGGTGGTTAAATCCTAATGTAATTAAGTTACAGCAACCAGTAGCATCAGGAGCCAGGTTGGGAAAGTAAGGGAGTATTTTTTTTTTCCTACTGACCACTGCCAGACCAAAGAACAGCAGCCAGTTTAATACTTAAGCACTTGAGCTTGGCTGGGTGGCAATTAACACAAGCACAAGAACACTGGCCAGGGATTATCTTTCAGACTTTGAGGTAAAGAAGAACTTGTAAATACAAGCCCCATGAAACACAACCATAAATTGAAGACTACTGCATTTCTCTACTATCAAAAATAACCATTTCTGTACCAAGCTTACTCTACTCTGATGGAGATTACAAATTTTGCCAATAATAGCAGAAAAACAAAATAGCAATGATATACTGTTAGGGGTAAAGGATGTCCTGAACAAACTTTACAGATACAGGTTTTGTGGACTCTGCCCCTCACCCCAGACTCTAGAGCTACAAATCCCAGCATCACCAAAGGGAAGTGTGCTGGGACCTGAGGGTGGTGTTAAGCAGTGATGTTTGGATCTGTGGGCTTTGGCCTCTCTTGGCCTCATGGCTTGCCGCTTATGCGCTACTAGGGTTCCAGGTAAGTGGAACTGCTAGGATGCATTAAACAATTTATCTCTTTCTCTTTCCTTGAATTATTCATTTCCCTCTCTCTTGCAAATAAACCCATTATTCACCTTTTTGTGTTTGCAGTTGAATCTTATAAGTCCCTTTAATCACAGGGGTGAGGACCCCCCAGTCAGGCACCCCAATGTGAATTGGCCACAAGGCCAAGAGAGACCCCAAAGCCCACATTTCCAGTTTTATATCCAAACATCACTGCTTAACACCACCCTCAGGTCCCAGCACACTTCTCTTTGGTGATGCTGGGATTTGTAGTTCTGGTATCTGGGGTGAAGGGTGGAGTTCACAAAACCTGTATCTGTAATAATACCACTTTATATTAAATCAGCAAAAATTAGTATATTGAAATATTGATGAATATTGGGGAAATGACCTTCATGCACTGCTGGTGTCCATCAGTAAAGTCACAGGAAGAGTTTGGGATGAAGAAAATAGGGAAACAAATGAGCTCGTGGAAAACCTGATTCTACTGTGCCTTTAAGTGAAGGGTAGGATCTATCTCTCTTCAACTAGGTCATAAAAGAGGCAGTGAAAATTTTATGGTGTTGTGAACAAACATTTATTTAATCTTTTCCATATCATTAGATATTTAGATTGCTACTCATTTTTTACTACTGAAAAAATGCTACAGCTGAGATGGTTGTATAAGCATCTGAATTTCTGATTATTTCTCTATACTTCCTACAAATATCATATATCTACATAAAAAGATAGTTACTTGTTCAGAGGACAAGAACATTAAGATTTCTGATCTATAATGCCAGTCTTCCTAAAAGAAACACTGAGCCTATGAGCAACATGTGAATCATAATATATTCCTGCCTAGAAAGTACACAAGTATACTTTAAAAAAATAAAAAACAATGCCATTTTCAGCAAGTCCAAGTAGTATTCCATTGTTTCAAGTGGATTTTTCTTTTTTAATTACTAGTATGGATGAAAGCCCCCACCAAGTTTAGTAGCAATCAGGCATTGGTACTCAGTCAATTGAGTCCTCAGACGATATTCTACCAAGAATTTCAGTGTAATAATACAGATTTGTATATACACTAATATATGAAGACTGGTAGTATTTAGATTAACACTAGAGTTGACAATTTTCTCCTAGTTTGCCTGCCTTTAAGTTGTTTGATGTTTCTTGACAAATGAGTTCATTTCTTTTCTATTGAGGTAGCACAGGTCTTTTTTCAGTCAAATCTATTGAGTTTTTTTGGGTAATTTTTATATTATTGTTTACTGCTTAGAAAATCCTTCCTGACTGACAAAAAAGACAAAAATCCACCTTTATTTTTTTCTGGATTTCTTAGAGTGGTTTTTAAAAATATTGTGAGTAATGTCCCTTAAAGTTTGTCACTGTGCCCTGATAAATGAGCTGATCATAGAGCATCTGGAATATGAGACACTTTCACTGTCTCCTAAAGAGCAACCTGTTGAAAAATAATTTTCCTAGACAATGTAAACATTTAGAATGTCTACTTTTCTCTTGCAATTATTCTAGTTAATGAAGCTGTGCATATTTTATAAATAAAATAAAATTTACTACATATGTCATGCTATGGTTCTAGCATATGTGATAAACAAACAAACAAAAACAGGACTGCTAGGCCCAATTCATGGCAATTTCATTTTGGTATTTGTGTTAAAACTTTGGTTTTCATCCTGTTACTTTATTTACCAAGAACATCTTCACTCATGACCATGGTCATGATGGGGCATACCACAATGAAGTGATCTAAAAAAGCTTGCAGTTTTACTTTGGCATCCTGGTGATAGCCACATTAACAGAGACTCATGCAACCTGAATGGCCTTAATCAACTACCTAAAGTAAAGTAACAAGTCAGTTATTAGCATTGCACTCTTTCAAAGATATCCACAAGTACTCTCCAAGCTTTTCTTAAAAGAAAGCAAAACAAGCATAAGCTACTGTATCCACACATACCTGTCCAAATGAAAGGCTGCTACTTCTGCATTGTGTCTATCATAACCAGCATATGGCTCCCCTTCTACCACATAGTCTCGGTTATACCTGCAGAGTGAAGAAAAGCACAGATGTAGACGTGAATTACATCAGTATCAGTATCAGACATCACAAGAGTCTGTCAAGAGACTCAGCAAGTCTGAGTCTGCTTCACAGACATTTCTGTCAACCCTGAGAACGAGCAGTTGATTAGCACTGGTAGATGGGGTCAAGATGAAGTGGAGAAATAAACTAGAACTCTATCACAAACAGTCTATGAATAAAAAAAGATGTTATTTTTACCCCTCTAAAAGACTTTCAGTGTAGCTTAAGTAAAACTATAAGGTAATTTTCTGGAAAGCAAGGACCATCCTTTTATCTCCAACACAGTGGTTAAGCCTAGAATTGGTGCTTAATACATTTTACTAAATGCCTATTAACTTGAAGAAAAGAGAAATATATAATTAAAGTGTTTGCTTACCAGAATGGCTATGTTAAGGCTTAAAAGCTTAAATTTCTTGAGCAAAAACCTCAGTTTTTGTTAATGAGTACACAATGAAGCACTTGAAGTTGTTGTTTGAATAACCATTCTCATATTCTCCTTTTGAATTTATGGTGTGTCAGTGGGAGAAATACTAGATTGGGACTGAGAGCTACATAGAGCCTTGTCATTATCTGCCTGAGAAAACCTAAGCAAATTCCTTCTCTTCTCTAGGTCTTAGATTCCTTACTTACCTTATCAAGGGTCTGTATTAGGAGGAAATTTTTTTTTTTTTAGATTTATTTATACATACAGAGCTGGGGTACAGGCCAGACATGTGAAGGGTGGGGTATGTGTGTGTGAGAGGATTCACTAGACAGAATGGGGAGCAGAACAGGTAGATCAACTGAAGTACACTGCAGAAGGGAGCAGGGGCAAGACAGGAGAGGTCTGTTGCACCATGTGGGCACCTCCCTGGCTGGGGATTGAACTTGGGGATCCAGCTGCAGTTGCTGCAATAGCTTCATAGTGTTGCGCTTTAATCCGCTGTACCACCAGGGAGGGCCCAGAAGGCAATTTCTAAGGTCTCTTTCATCTCCACTTTCATTTCAATGATTTTATTTTACATTATGTGCAAGACATTAACAAAAGATAATTAAAATTGGAATATTTATTTCACTAGTCACTTAAAAAGATATGATCTAAACCTACTAATTGGGAAGAAAAATCATACTTAATTCACCTATGACCTCAACTGCTCACCAGCATTTCCTAAATCAAAAGGAGGTCTATTAGGCTCCACAAGGGAATTGTGAATTAGAAATAGAGACTGAAGTGAAGAGAGGATGCTTAGATCTATGCTGAAAAAGCCATGGGAAGTAGCAAATGATACTGTAAAAGGCAGTGACCTTCAACACGAATGACCTGGGAATGTAAAATGAATCATGTTCCTATAACACAATTTTAGGCATTAGGTTAGAAGACAGTTGTGTACCACCACCTGGTTGGATACCAGCTTCCTTTTAGCATGGTCAAATTACTCAAATGTAATTTTTTGCTTTTACTGTCAAAGCATTCTATAGGGTACCTGGGGCTACAGTGGCTATCTCCAAATGAAAGCCTGAGTTTTTCAACAGGATTGCAGCAAAAGCTGACATTATTTAAGCATTTCTCTCTGTACCACAATGTAGGCTGTCCATAATGCTGGGAGACAATCCTGAGTACTTTATCATGACTCAGAGGGCCACAGGAAGATATGTAGTGATGTACAGTACATTCCTGTCAGTGAAACAGCAGAGAGCTTTCCAATTTGTATAGTGAAAGGCTTCTTGCAATGAAATCTAAAACCCTAGTAGAATCCAGGGACTTTGGCAGGAAGGCAGGAAAAGGGAAAAGAACAAGAATCAAAGGGAAAGAGCTGCACTGGAGTTAGAAGTCCTGAATCCTTAGTTCATATTTTGCTATATAAAATATGGAAAGTCAGAACTGACTTTCTCATTTCCTTACCATAAAAATGAGTAGTTGAACTAGTTCATCTCCAAGATCATTTATTCACTTCTACCCACACTTGGTCTTTCCATTTGGTTCATTTCCCACCATAATTGCAGTTTTTGCCTGTGAAAATCAATTGACTTCCAGAATGGATACAGCTACTTTGAAAAAAATTACTTTCATAATTTAAGGCAAATGTGCAAAAATAAGTATCATTGTATTCTATGTATTTCATCTACTATACATAGTTTCTATTTATGAAAATAGGAGTTGGACAACTAAGCTCCCGAAACGCTAAAACCACAAATGGCTGTTAAAGGTACATGTCTCCACTTAGCCAGAAGGACTAAGATCCAATTCTTAGAGTGATCCATCTTAAGTCACTGACAGAGCAGTAAATTCATACACTAAATGCCAATAAATCACTCCCATCCTCTGGTGAAGGACATCAGAGTCTAACCAAGGACATTAATTTGTACTTACAGTAAGACTAAATAGTATCTGAGGTCCCTAGGGCTGAATAGAATAGAAATTTGCTGGCTGTTTTGGGACTGGAGTCAATTTCTACAAGCCTTAAACTTACACCTACCTTTCCAGTGGGCACCAGTGTCAGGGGGAGTCAGCACACTCAGAGTGTGCAGTGAGAGAGTGCTAGCCACAATCTTCAGGGTAGTGGAGAAGAGTAACCTGGAGCAAGGGTGGCCATGGCTGTTCAGGAGGGGGCGGTTATTAGGGGCCAGTGTGACAGGAATAAAGAACCAGGTGTTCAGAAAGGGACTAGCTGCATCTAATGCATAAGCATAAGATTTAGTTGTGGAGGCTGTTTTGTCTGGTGAGCAACTGGAAATCTTTAGAATTGTTTAACACTGGTTGGGGATGGGTTGGGAGAGAGAAGGGGAGAAGGAAAGTGGTTTTCAGGCTATCTGGAAAAGGGAGGAAATGGGACAGCTGCGGTGGTAGTAAGTGATAAGAGAAGCAACTGTAACTGAGGTGAATCTATGCATTTACCTGCTGTCACCTCCCCCAGTTGTCTCTCCTCCCTCCACTTACATCTTATCTGCACAACCCCCCCCCCCCCAGATCAATCTGATCTAATACCAATACTGCACTCTCTCAGGAATAGCTGCTTCTTAACAATGCCTGCTATCCCAGGCATTAAGCCTCAAGTGTTCAGCGAGCATGGAGAAAATGCCCTCCCAGTTAAATCAAAATGCCCACAACTCATCTCTTTTACACAAATTTTTGCTTTTAGCTTGCCTTCTTCCCATCATTCTGCTTATGCTACTGACTGGTCCCACTACAAATAAAGAGTTCAAGGACCACATTTCAAAACTAAACTAGTAGTTTTTGATAATGGGTGCTGCATGTCATCACTTACAGATAGGCAAACAAAGAGAATCACACATGTGTGGCAGCTGCTCACCTTGGCTGATCCAAATACCAGTCCATTGGTTATTAAGTTAAACCTGTCAGCTTTATTACTCTCAACAGACCTCAGTTTCTTATAATGGAATTATGAAATGTAACTGCCCACAGTTGTGCTACAGGTTAAAACAGTTAACAGACACAGAAGTACTAGTGTAAAGCCTGGCAAATAAGGTACATTCAATAGACATTAGTCCAAGACTCACATAACCATAACTTTCCACATTATCTGCCAATCAAACTCTTCCATTCACCAGAGTCTATTGCATTTTTAAACTTTCTTAATTTTGACATTTTCAATACATCACCTTCCCAGTTTCAGACAAACACAGGTCCCTTTCTTTTCTGGGATCACAATTTGTTAGTTCTCTAACTGCTTTTTATCTACCAATAGTTGAGGAATGAAGGGAGCTTGTCCTGTGTGTCCTATTCTGGTGACAAGTGAATTTTGTACATCTTTACTCCATACTTCTCCCACTGTAGCAAGAGACCAAAAGGACTGTGTTGTATGTCTTCTTTCAAAAGCTCCACTGAGGAATGATAAAATTGTTTAATACAATGAAAATTTTAGATATACAAAGTTTGAAAATTCACTGGTAACTAATTCCTGGCAAAGAATGTGAACCACCATGTAACCTCTCAAAATCATACAGTCACAGAAAACTTTTTAAATAAAAAAAATTAAATTCTATACTATAGAACTACCACTCAACTTATCTCTGTAGGTCCTTAGAAAAATACAAAACCCACTCCAACCCTGGGTAATCCCCTTCTATAGCATCTTTAACAGCATACTTTTGGTGACAAGTTGTGTATTTCTTAACCAATTCATTTTGCAGCTCTAACATCTGGCACATAATAGGTATTTTATAAATAAGAAATCAAGAATAGTCCAACCGTATAAAATTTTGTCTTCTATGGAACTAAAACATTCAATATAAATTTCTCCTACTCAAAGAATAACAGACCATTAAGAGTTAGAAAAGACTTCTGTGATCTTTTAACATACCCTTATTTTACTGGTGAGAAGAGCAAGAAAAGATGAATACTTTTACATAAATTCCAAGTTACATGAATCAGCAAATATAACTTCTCAGATGAGGACTTACCGTTTGGGTTTGAAGACCACTTTCTGTCCTCCTTCAAGTATCAGTAAGGCTTTCAGTTGTGTCCCTTTATAGCCCACATCAGCTTTAATGATTTTTTTGGTGGCCATGGCATGCATGATGGCCCCCAGCTCTGGTGTCTCTTCAGGGTACACTTCCCGGGGGACTACCCACTGGGCGGCAATCTCCCAGGGAGACTGCAAAGTGTGGTCCAGCTTGGGCACCAGTTCCACCCGCAAGCCACCCATCATTCGGTGAAAAGCCCTCTGGTCCTCCCGGTTGGCAGCTGATGTATCTAAGTTGTCAATCAAAAAAACTTTGGTGAAGATAAAGATGACAAGGAGAATTGCTAACAGCACAACTCGCTGCTTTAGCTTCATGTTGACCTCTTTTCTCTCTCTCCCTACCCACTCTCTCGTTTATCAAGGAGAGCAGGTGGTGATGGTTATCGAGGCAATTCCATGATTATACACACTGGCCCATTTCTTCACTGAAGTGTGTCCTACAATTCCTGCAAGCCCAAATAAAGCAAAATTCAATTAGAAATCCTGTACTTCCACCTTGAATCTTTTGCAAGTCTCAAATACATTACTTACCCTCTTTGCCTTACTAATCTTATACTTGAGAAGACCAGTAACTTAAAATTAACTAGTCCAGGGAAAGACCCAGTACATAAGAATTGAGTACGATAAAATTTACAAGTAAATAGGGTGCAGTCATCCAGGAGCCACTTTTTTTTCCCCCCAAGAGCCACTTTTTCTTGGGAAATTCATAAAGGACTTTTGAGCATCCTAACACCAATCCTGGGGATCTTTCCAGTTCTTCTCCAAATAAAAGCTTTATGATACATTGAAACAGGAATTCCTAAAAATGCCAAGGAGGGTACGGAGGAGAGTCCTCTAGATCCACCCTGAAATGGTCATTTCTGCTACGCAAGTATTTAAATATAATACTCAGACGCATATTGCTACTTAACCAGTCTCCCACTAACTACTGTACAAAGTTAAAATCCCTGCAAAATATGGGTAATCAAATCTGAATAAATTAAGTAAAGGAAAAACATATCCCTATACCATCTGGCTATTAGTGGAATGTGACCAGAAAACTAATGAAACCTGGTACTCTAGCAACACTACTAAGCAGATTGGGCTGTCAGGGATGTAGTGAAGATACTGATGCCACCAATACCATTTGCTTCTATGAGGGGCACACCACACTCTGGTCAATTCTAAAGCTACAAGATTCCAAATGTAACATTTTTGCAAGGGTGTCTCATTTGCATGCTGACAGATTGCTTTTCAAGCCACAGGACCTTTAAAAACATGCAGAAGCTTGCTCTGTGTATATCTACAGACAGCACAGCATTGGGCTAATACAAAGATGACAAGAAGATAACAGGGTGTTGATTCACTCTCCTATTCATTCAACACCTCAAACCATTAATAGAAGGAGTAAAACCAATACAAAAGATTCTCACCCAAATTGGATTCTGCTCCCTTAATAATAGCTGGAAACATCCAAAAACAGCCCACTAGAACAACAGTGTGTTCTAAGGGCAATACCTTGCAGTGATCCCGTTGCCATGAGTTTATTCTTAGCGATTAAACCACTTTCCCATTTATTTTCACAGAGAAAAGGAAAGTGAAGGTTAAATTCCAGTTTTAATTATCTCCAGCCACCTGTTTTGTTTTATCATCTCCCAGGGAGCACATAACACTATTAACTGACACAAAGACAATTCAAGTGCATTTAAACTGTAAGTGTGACAGTATCAAGTTTGGTGTGAAACCCAGTAAAACAGTTCCTTGTGATTACTGATAACAGCAGTGCTAGAACAGATTTCAAGAGATTTCTGCAAGTTTCAACATGACCTAAGTCACACAACTTCAATTATTTGTTCAGTAGTATGTATCTTGAGCTGCAGTGGGACATAGAAATCTAGCTGTGTCAGCAACAGCTTCCTCAACATCTCCAGCAACACTCCTTACAGCCGCAACACGATTCTGGCCGAAAAAAAGACAGCCTGAATGGCCTTTCATTTTCTACAAAACATTCTTCAAGACTAAAGTCTGGTTAACCCATAAATATATAATGGTGCTGCTTATTTCATTTAGAAGAAAGAAAACCCCCCCTTATGCTAAATCATGTATCAGAACATAGAGCATAAAGTTTAGGTATTGAAGTTATTCAGTCCTAGTGCAAAAGGAAATTCTAGCATATTCAAAATTCAGACAAAACCCGCTCTCCAATTCCAGAATCTGAGTTAGTGTGCCTATCTATAGTTTTGAAATCTCATTGCCTTTTGAGGTAATCTCAGATTTTCAATTCAGGGCTGCAAACAATTAATTCATCCACTCCACTGAGATGGAAATTTATTTTTTAAAGATTTATTTATTCATACAGAACTGGGGTACAGGCCAGGGGTACTGGGGCGGTGAGAGGATTCACTAGAGACAGAGTAGGGAACAGAACAGGCTGACTGATAAAGTATACTGCTAAGGGGAAACTGGGCGTGTCAGAGAGGTCTGCCGCGCCATGTGGATCACCTCTGGGGTGGGGATTGAACTCATGATGAAGTGGCTTTAGCTTCTTAGTGCTGTGCTTTAACCGACTGTGCCACCAGGGAGGGCTGAGATGGAAATTTATATTAAGTGAATTGAAAAGTTCAACTGTTACATTCTTTTATGATTTACCTCTGTGGTAGTAGTGAGAGAGGTTTAAGGAAGAGGCAGGACAAATTTTCATGTTTGCGCTTAGTCACCAAATTCTGGTAGGACTAAGAGTGATATGGCATTGTTCTGTCCACTGTCTACTCTCCCACAGCCACCGCTGGCTTTTAGGTTCTCCAACCCAGACTTGATAACACAGCACTATCATTTTCTAATCCATAACACCTGAGATTTTCCACCAATTCTTCCATAAGTCATAAAAGCCCTACCCTGCCAATCGATTCTGCTAGGCATCATTCCTCTTCTCATCAACAACCAATAATGGCCATGTAAAAGTGCTGATCCTTGTGGATGTGTGCCTGATCTTTGTCTTTGTTAGTCCTCACACTGGCATTTCTTCAAAATCCCCTTATTTTTACCCTTGCTTCTCATACTGTCCAGTTAAAAACCTTTAGCTCTCAAGGGACATCTCTAAAGTCAAAATTTGTTCCTCCCCACATACTACAATAATTCTCTTAAACCATTACTTTACTACTTTCTGCCTAGCCCAGTATATTCTTATAGGGAATTCCTAATTCCCGCAAAATCATGGCTCCTTAGTGATAGTACCTGTCTTTCCACTCCCTACAGTATCTAGGGTGGTAAGGGTAGATGCCTTAGTCATTACAATAAATTACTAAAAATAAGAGGTTCTGCAAATATCTTAGAACTCCAGTATTAATCTTTGCTATTCAGTATTAAATGAGTATGTACAAATGGCATCTTAACAATGACGATCCTTAATCAGCTATCTTCCTTTTCACAGAACTCATTTACCAAAGCGCTAGCTATTCAAGAGTTTAGCAGGCAGTTTCATAGGATAGTTTCTTTTTCTGAAGAAATAAAAGTTCAGAAAGGGCTTTTTTTTTTTTAGTTGGAAAGCTGCTACTCTATCAGCCCACCGGCAAGCGCAAAGATATTTAAGAAACTGACAATAGAGAAATTATATGGAATTTCTACAAAACATCTATGAGTTTCTAAGATTCCAATTCCAGAAAAATAGATCAAATGTATTATATGGCCTATTTCCATTCTCAAATAATAGTATCTTTATTCTTCATGATTCCCTTCATTTTTGTATGATCGAGAGGTGAGGATGCCCACAACTGGATTTCCAGGATGTACTATCTTTTTTCCTTATTTGAGACAGCAGCAAACTATACAATGCACAAATTGGGTTTCTAAGACAATCCCCCACTTTAGGTATTAAGGAAATTAAAGCAAGATCACTGGGTATATGCCAAATTATTTAAGAAAACTTTGCTTGTGTTCCCAGAGGAGTCTGCCTGTTCTATTTCATGCACTCACCTCCTCTTATAAATGCCTCCAATGGTGTAACACTGTCCAGTTATATTATGACCATTTATTTTAATGTTCTGTTATGTGGAAAAGAGCCTACATCAAAGAACAAATAGGCTCAAGGTAATAACATAACTCAAAAAATGTTAAATACAAAGAATGGGGGTAGTACAAATGGCAATCTTCACACTAAAAGCTGGCATAAACTCCCAGATTAGAGTTCTGGAAGGCAAACCTATATAAGGAATTTTCCTCCTGCACTCCGATTTCACTCAAAGCTCTACCAACTAAGTGGGGCCTGGTATGGAGGTTCATTTACTTTCACTTTTTATACACACTATGTGTGTATAAAGAGTATATATTTGGTGTTTTACAAAGACAAATTTGTGACTATTAAGTAGTCTTGGGTGATGAGATATAGATTCCACAGGAGAAACTAAGGCCTTTGTAGAAAGTCCTCTGTTCAAGAACCTGACTGATATCTAGAGGAACATGCACAGAAACCCACACTGGTGCAGAGGTCTACAAGTCATCATGTGGTAAAACTCAGTGTATATGGCTGCCAAGGGACTAGAGAACTCCTGGCCCAACAATTACTACCTAACTAGGGGCTCCCTAGTCACCAGGCACACCCCAAGCCCCACTGGTAGCAATGCCTCCTTTAACCTCCCTCTGATCAAATGATAACCTCACACTACTTGTAAAGTAACAAAGAATCCCAACCTTTGCTTATAGCAAGAGAATGTTTCAGCAGTAACCTTTTTTATTGTATTTCTAATTTGCTAGTCAAATTAGACTTTTACTACCTAAGTGGAATGTAATATGCCTTGTGCGTGTTAATACACAAGCAAAATGTTCAGTATGGACATTTTATGTAGAGAGTATCATACCAACGTATGGCAAAGGAGGACAGAACTTATTATATAACTGGTATAAAACCATATTTACTCATACAATCTCCCTGCCCTTGAACCTGAGTAGGTGTTGTAAGGAGCCTTTTGCAATCTTCTTTGGTAATTGGTTTCAGCAAAATTTTGAAACTTTGGTGAGTATAACTGATAAAACTTGAACTTAATAAAGAGCTTCCTGGCTGACTGCCAGGAAAGACAAAACACTAACAAAGACAGACACTAACAATTTCTCCCATAAATAACAGAATCTTTTTCCTCCCTTTGAATATGGGCTGGCATTGTAATTTGTAAATGCTGTAGAAGTTTTGGCCTTAGGCCTCAAGAGTTTTGGCAGCTTCCCTTTAGGATCACACCACTTTGCAAAACAGCTGTGGCAACACTCCTCTTACTGATGAGATGCCTGACCAGCCCCTGGCTATCTGGGTCACCCTGGCTGAAGAACCAGGCTTGGAAGTGAACCCACCTAGAACATTGCAATTCCAGCTGAGATTCCACAAGTGATGCTAGTCTATATCATGTGGGCAGAAGAACCAACCGGCTGAGCCCAGCTGATGTATAGGACATTTTTTTCAAAGCCACTAAATTTTGGAG